TAAATTATTTAAAAATAGATGAAATTACATTATTAAAAAAACGCGTGGGGAATTCGTGTGAAAAAGGGCGCCATTTATGGTAATGGCACCCCCGATTTTGAATGTCTGCGCGTACTACGTCTATCGCCCGACCAGATAGCGCACGAGAACTGAGCGCACATAGGAGGTACCTGACTGGGTGCACCGACCAGCCAACTCGAGGGCACGCCAACTCGAGCCTTTCGAGAACCGAAAAATATCCAGTTCGGCTATGTAGCCACTCCACCTGTTCCGTTGCTGTTTGCCGGATTTTCCATTTTCAACGTAGCTAGCTCGATTCCTTGAATGACCATTTGCTCGAAATATTGTAAAATTGTCTGTATACAAGGCTCGATTTTCGACAAGAAATCTTTTTTGTTAGAACCTCGGTCGCGGCTGGGTTCTTAAAAATTACTCTGTATGTACCACTGCGCGTCGAGTACAACATACGCGTAATTTTGCAGGCACGTATTAACGATCTGCATGGCTACCGCAGCTTGCAACCGTACTTATATACGCGTATAACTTGTGATTGTTTCGACAAACTTTTCTTTCTCTCTCCGGCTTGCCTTTTCTCGCGGCTCTGTGCGAAACTCCCGCACTGTGCTGCGGCTACTGTTTACTTACACATGCTCGCAAACATCTATACACTCTTCTTTTGCACGTATATATGTTCGTGCTGTATATGTGTGCGGGGATCGGCTCTCGCCGCTTCTTTTCTCGCGAGTGCGAAATATCACCTGCACGAGGAGGCGGCTTGCCTATGGCTACAAGCTATACGCGTACTTCAAGTTTAATTAGTTTCAAGAACACCAAGTAAGCCGCCCGCACCGCCACGTTTCTCTCTCTCTCTCTCTCTCTTTCTCTCGCTTGTCTGTGCGAAGCGCCGAAATATTTACAAACTTTGTTTGCCGCGCTGTGTATGGATCGTAGACGCGATAAGCGAAAAAAACAACAAGCATGAAAAATTATGCGCACTGTACGTAGAGCTCTCTAGCCTGATGCGATCGCAGACAAAAATGTGAAGATCGTGCGAAAGCACATCGTAGCCCTAGAACACGGCATGCCTCAAGTTTCTCCCAGTCTAAAGAGAAGTTTTTCAATTTTCTCGCTCCGCGCCGGCGTGTCGTAGTCGTCCCGGTCCAATCGCGCCGGCTTAACTGACAAGTCGGCGCGGAGTCACATAGTCGTGTGCGCCAAGCGTCGAGAGGCCGTTCGCTCGTAGTCGTCTTACTTTCCTCGCAAAGTCCTGGGCAAACCCTTTGTACGAATGTGTATGCGCGCGCCAAGGTAAAGGCTTTACTACGGGGACTCTCGAAAATATACTCAACTGTATAAAACAACTCCCGGATAATTTACCTTCAGTTGACTCGCGAGCACTTACTACTTAGATATTTCTGCACAACTTTTTTTACGATTACATTATATGTTTAAGAATCATTTTTTTAAATCTCATTTTCCCTCAATAATATTTCATTGGTAAAAATTTACTATTCATTTAAAATTTTTTTAAATTTACTATTCATTAGATATTAAATGCATAATTTCATTTCTTCCATGATTTCATGATAATTATTTGATGATACTATGTGTTTACAGTTTGGCTTGCATAGAATATAGTGCTAAAAAGCAAGATGGTGCACGGCAAAACAACGCGTGCCGGGCAACATACCGACAGAGATCATGCACGCTACGCTGTGCGCACGACGTAAACAACACAATCAGTTCTCAGCTCTGAGTGTTCTTCACCAGTTTTTCTGCGCAGTTCACCTGATCAACATACGAAAGATTATTGATGCTGAGCGCAGCAAAGTCGTGCACATTCGATATTGCTAATTTTCGATGTTTTACTCTAACTGCGAAAACTCATGCAGAGATAAACCAATCGATCTGAAAATTTTACATAGCATCCTTAAGGTGTTGACGGAGTGCTGTATACTTTTTTAGCAACATCAGTGTATCCTAATATGCAAAAAATGCATTTCTATGCAATTTCGAGTTTTGCATCAATATTCGTGTGTAAATTTTATAATATATATTTTGTGGGTTATTTATTGATATTTTTTTTTTGTATACATTCGATATTGCTTATTTTTTATGTTTTATTCTAATTGCGATAACTCATGCAGGAATAAACCAATCGATCTGAAAATTTTACTTAGCATTGTTTCGGTGCTGATGGAGTGCTGTATACTTTTTTAGTGACATCCGTATATCCTAATATACAAAAAATGCCTTTTTATGCAATTTTGAGTTTTGCACCTCGCGACATCTCCACTTCGAAAAAACGTAATTTTTGTTTGCGATCGGTCTTACTTGTGTATCGGTATTTAACATTGTACTTAAGACAAGTATATTGTATGTGGTGTTTTGAGTACCACTATACTGAGCGTAACATGATTGTGATATAGTATAATTATGTCGTGTTTTTGAGTATCACTACTGAGCAAAAATTTATGATATGTTTATTTATTATATGCTAATAAATAAATATATGTTAATTTATGATTTGCTAATTTATTTATTTGTCTCGACGTTTCATCATTTTGCGCGGTATTAATAGGTACGTTTTAAGATCATTTGTATTGATCTCGTGCTTGGGTATTGCCTTCATGCACAGTTTGGACGTGTCTGCATAAATATTTTCTATGTTTAAATTTTTGCCGCATAAAACATAAGCGTGATCAATGTCTTCGTGCTGCGTTTTAATGTGAGCTATAAGACGATCCGTTTGAGAAAATGTCTTGCCGCACTTATTACAATATCTTATTATGTCTTATTATGCATCAAATTCATGTGTTTTTTAAGATTACCCTTTACTGTGAATGTCTTTCCGCACACTTCGCAAGTATGTGCCCCACCTTTATGCATTGCATCGATGTGAATCTTGAGATAACATTTTTGTCTGAATGTCTTTTCACATATACCACACGCATGTTTAACACCATTATGTACTCCATCGATATGGATCTTGAGTTTATCCTTCGTTTGAAATTTCTTCCCGCATATTTCGCAAGTAGGGGCCATACCATTATGCATCGCATCGATGTGAATTTTGAGAGTACCTTTGTGTTTGAATGTCTTTCCACAAGTACCACACGCATGTTTAACACCATTATGTACTGAATCGATGTGGACCTTGAGATTACCTTTTAGTGAAAATTTTTGACCGCATATATTACATGGATGTTTAACACCATTGTGTGCATCGATGTGAATCTTGAGTGCAGCTTCAGTTAAGAATTTCTTCCCGCATACTTCGCAAGTAGGTGCCATACCATTATGCATCGCATCGATGTGAATTTTGAGAGTACCTTTGTATTTGAATGTCTTTCCACAAGTACCACACGCATGTTTAACACCATTATGTACTGAATCGATGTGGACCTTGAGACTATCTTTTCGTGCCAATTTTTTACTGCATATATTACATGGATATTTGGTACGATTGCGTGCCTTATCAGTTTGGGTTTTGCGTTGACTATTTTGAGCAAATGTTTTTCCATTTCCATCAAATGCATCACTGAGTTCACCATCCAAATTCAATTCCTCTTTTACTTCGTCGACAATTTCTTCTTTAATTTTCTTTTGAGTCTGATAATCGCAACTATTTTTCATATGCTGCCATTGATCTGGATAATCGTCCTCGATTTTCTTGACTACTAATAAGTTAATGCCGAGCTTCTCGTCCTTACATTCGAATTCTATTTCCAAATCGTTATTAGGTCCAGAATTTTCATCATTTTCACGAAGCCCATAAATCTGGAAATGAGATTAGTAAAAATACTTGATCAAAATATTATATATAAACAGTCCCACATCAACACTTACTAAATTTTCTCGACAAAAATTCGAGAATTCGTCGTTTTTAGCATCGCATGCATTGTCAATTATCTTATAATCTTCATTTTTAATTGGGGAAACATCATCTGGTTCCTTCTTCACTCTGCAATATTTCCATCAATATAAAGTATTATGCCATTTTTTTTTAATTTTATTCTCACGAAACAAAAATTACCTGACATCAAAGTTATATACATCACTGAAGTCCATGTTTATCACTCGGAACTTGATCAACGACTAATTGTTTTGTAATAATGTTACACATCGAGCTAGGTAACATAAGTGTAATAATATTTACAAATCGTGAAATGAAAGTTTGAGAAAATTTATGTCAACAGAGACACTCTAAACTTATCATTTATTATTGGAGAAATTATACTATTGATCTCGTAATAAACAATTAGCCATTTTCTTTGAATTGTATCTTATTACAAAGAAATTATAAATTATTGAACACTTCATGAATCGAGCTTATGATGTGTCCTATACTCCTTTTCACATAATTTTTTTCGACGCGCAAAATATGAAACAAAGTTAACGTGAGCGAATGAAGGGTTTATATACATTTTTATATTACACTAACGCCAAATACATAACTACAGTCGCATCTATATCATTTACCATTTTTACACAACGAGCGAATATCGTACATCTATGTAATCTATTGTGTGATAAATATACATGGTTAGTCATGTAGGCAAATATATATCTATGTATATTGTCACGTGGGCACACCGGGCCAGCTTAACGCGTACTTACAGCTCTATATGTGTTGACATGCCATGTGCAAATTCCTTTGGTTGCAAAACATCGATAAGTGAAATCTATTTCGTGCGTGCGAATTACAAAAACCTGTATTCATATATACCTATACTAATGTACATGTAGGGAACATCAAACTAAAAAATACGCCCTATTTTTGCGTTCTACTTCCAATTATACCAATAATAATTTTAACGGCTTTACCAAATAAACTGACACAAAAAACTCATTGTAACATTGATTTATTATGATACTCATTGAAGCTACTATTATTAATTTCATACGGCTGAAACAACTATTATCATGATGTCGTATGCTATTTCGTTATTTACCATTCAGTCGCTCAGCATTTTGCAACTGTGGTTGCCACTAGTAATATGTTAACAAGATTCCAAGTGAAAAGGATGAAACCAAGTGATTTATTTGATTGTGGCGTCAGGTAACTTTCGTTTAAGAATTACATTACAACAATTTTAAACATAATAGTTACAATTATTTTTATTGGGGTTACTTTAGAGTGAAAGAGGAGCCAAGTGATGTCCCCTTTCGTAAAAATGATTATGAAGTAATTGACGAGAAACCCGATTTTAAAAACGTTCAACTCCTATCATTCCCGCGAGAAAATTCAGTAAGTTTTGATAATCGTATGTATTTAAAATTGTAGTATTTTTTAATCAAAATTTTCACAAAGCTTTAATTTTTTTACAGAGCCATACGCTTCGAAAATATGACTTGAAACATGAAGATGAACTTGGTAACGAAGCGAAAATAGTTTTCGAGAGCGAAGATGTGAAACCCAATATGGCTTTTTTAGCAGTTAAGAAAATTGACAGTAATTTTAAATATCATTTGCAGAATGTAACTCACAGTGATGGTTATAAAACTCAAAACATAGTTAATGAAGAAACCGTGGTTGAAGTAAAACAAGAATATGTTCATAAAACTGCAGAACAATTGAATTTCAATCTTGACAGTAAACGTGTCGAACAAAATAAAAAAAGAAGAATTATGAAAAAGTTTAATTATGAACATAACCGCAAAACAAACATCGGTTCAATGCTTAATCATAACACTCACGCTTGTGAAATATGCGGAAAGAAATTCTCACAAAAGAGCTATCTCAAAACTCACATTAACGCAGTGCACAATGGTGTCACACATGCATGTGAAGTATGCGGAAAGTCTTTCGCTCAAAAATGGTACCTCAAAGATCACATTGATTCAGTGCACAATGGGGTCATTCACTCATGTGATGAATGTAAAAAATTATTTCGCCACAAAAACAGTCTCCGAAATCACATAAATGAGATGCACAGGGCTGTCACACATACATGCAATACATGTGGAAAATCATTTTCAACCAAAAGTAATCTCAAGAACCACGTCGATTCTGTACACAAGGGTATCACACATGCATGTGACACATGTGGAAAGAAGTACTCAACTAAATGGTATCTCAAAGTCCACATGAATTCGGTACATGATTAAATCACTTCTGCTTATGATATTTGTGAAAAAACATTCAGACGAAAAATCATCTTAATGCCCGATTCGGTGCATCGCACTCACGTATTACAATTTTTAAAAATGCATTAAACTTTCTGAAACTTGTTTAGAGACTTAATCTAAATTATTTTATTTGTAATAATATAATTAGTTATTCTCATGTTTATTTTATTATGTAAACATAATCTGTAAGGTTTAAAAAGTTCAATAAAATTTTGGAGTGAACTTACACATGTATTTTTAGTTGCAAGCTAATAAAATTTTAAAATCGTTAATTCAACTTTTTGTCCTATCGCTTTATTAACAAAGAGTAAAAAAATAAGAATAAGAAAATCAATGACAACGTTAAAAAAATCTCTACACATTTGTGATGTAATGACATTAATTTCCTTTAGAAATATAATTCATTTTAATAAATAAAAGTTCGTCAAACGCTTCGTTTTACGCGATACATTCAGGTCATAAAGATGAAGAAGCTGCAAGAATTTATTCTTGCTTAGCAGCGAGTCGTGTCTCGTGGCTGACGCACGTCCGCGAGACTACGAGATAAGCCTTGCCGCTGCAGCAGCCAAAAATCTGTCGAGCGAGATAAAGGAGAGAAAGCTCGCGGAATCAGCTCGGCTAAGAGCAAAGTCGATCCTGCGCGCCCTTATACGCGGCACGCGCCGCACACGTAATAAACACATCGTCGCGTAGATGGAGGATGGCGAATCCTGAGTAACGAGACAAGTGCAAGAGCCACATAGGCGGGAAAATTTGCTCTCGCTCGGCAAAAAGTTATGCAAGTAATAGTCTTTGCTCGGTGTAAAGGCTGAAACAAGCAGCCTCTACGTGTCCTCTCGGCGGGCGGCCCACTGTATACGCCGCGCACATGCAGCTCGTCGAGCTCTCGCGCAAAAAGCCAGCACAGCTATATACGTTCTCGAAAAAAAAATGAGACATTGGTATGTAAAGAGAGCGGTGGATATGGCTCCGCGGCAACGGCGTTTTAAAACTCGTCAAAAGTGGATTTGCGCCGCTCGAAAGCCTCGGAGTATAATATATACTGCAACTAGCTCGGGCTAGGTATGTGTATTTCAAAGCGTTGCGTATATAGTTGGCCGCTTGATCCTCGCTCGCTTCGCGTGTACGTATATATACGCTCGCGGATGAACTTACATACGTACACACGTACAGACAGCCTGCACGCACACTTTGGCACGCTCGTTCGACTTATTGCTGAAACGTGGCGAGATTTATATACGCGCGAGTTTAGTCGAGCTCTCTCTCTAGCTGTGCTTCGACGATTTATTATTTATGCGCGCCGTTCTCTGTGTACTATAACACTCTACGTGCCTGTGTGGTGTCGAGCCCCGCGCACAGCGCGTAATATACTCGAGCGATCCAAAATAGATCCCGATTTTCAAAGTTGCGCGCTACGTGCATCAAGCGCGATGGCTACTACTTGGGTTCAACTCGGTGCCCCATCTGGTCGAACATTTTTTTTTTGTATTACTTTACAACGATTTCTTTCCGATCGAAATGGGGTAATCTGCAATAAAACAGTCTACAATTAATCCAAGCTTTTACATGAAACGTAGATATTTTCAATAATAATATCGACTACACAGGTGTGCAGTACCCGACTATTTTAGTTTTACTCGACTCGAATCCGACTCGTCGAGTTCGAGTCTGGTCTTGTCAGAAAAATTCGAAAACCGGAATGTTTTCAGTTATTAGAGTATTTCAACTAGTTCGTATATGATATTAGATTCGACGCCTTTTCGTGCTGTAACTGGATTAGACCAAAGAGAAAAAGCTCCAGACGTATCATCACCTTTTTAACATTTCATGAAAAAAATTGATTGTCACGTAAATAAACGTCGATGTTAGATGAATCGCTTACATCGCGATTAGCGAAAAAATCCACTTATCGTATAAGTTTGTCATCGTCTGGATGTCGATTCGGTCTAATTTGAAATCTGTTTCTCTCAATTTCGACGATGGCTAAAGCACCAGATAGCGGACAATAGTCTTAATTAAAAATTATGCCACCTTTTAAAACACTCTAGCTTTAATCTTTCGTTAAAATAACTAACGGGGAAAACGAAGCCAGTACCCGAAAATTTAAGTACTCGATTACAACTCGAAAAAAAACTCGACTCGATCGGCTTTAGTTTTTCGAGTATTCATCATGATTCATTTTGCGACAACGAACCTTTTTGTCGTGAATACTTTGCGGGCTGGGAAGCGAAAAATATTTTAATGCACTCAGAAATATAGTATATTTATATTTACTTATCATTATTAAAAATTATAAAATTAAAAAATTTGCACTATTTGTAGATTCCACTCTTCAACAAAGAAATCCTCTCACGCTAAAATGTCGGTCAATTAAATTCAATGACTTTGAACGATTTCAAAATTCGACTGTGATAAGTAAATAAATCAGCTGTCAGCGATCGGGCGCGCCCGAGCCGAACTGTATACTCGGCCTGTTTTTCAAGATTATCACCCCCCAACGTGAAATTCACACAGACGCACACGGATTCGCTGCCGCCGTCATAATGCACGAGTCAAGTTGCGTGCATTTATTATAGAAGCGAACGAGGGATGCTCCGCTCTATGTATCCGCAGCCTATATAGGGGCTGCCGCCCGGCACCACTGCGCCGAGCGCGCTGATTTTTTTTTCCAACTTATCACGAGCTTAAAAGAATCGTCGTCATCGTTATTTACGCTGAAAATACATTATCAAACGTTCGTCAATTGTTACGAATTTAATTTTCAATTTATGTTGGACGTCAAGAGTGTCGAATCATTAGTTTTGATGAGTCTTGATTTATCGTTTGCGATGATTTTTTATTTTGCTATATAAATAGAGTCATTTTATTGTTAAATAAGATTTTTTGACTTCAGAAATATCATTGCCAAAAGTCACTAGTACTGTGAAACCAAAAATATGATTACTGGTTCATGTCCTTGGATTATGGTATTTATGCTCTTTGTAAAGTAATAAATACGCACTAAAAATCTAGTAAGCTTTTTTAAAGATACATTTCGTGTAATCGAGATTAGGATTGTATGTAAAAATATTTGGCGTGAGAAGCAAAGCAAATATTGGCGAAGCCACTCGCACGAGTTACACGAGTCATTAAGCCACGCGGTTAATGTACATGGATATGATTAAATCGATATGATCGGTGCGATATGTATTTACAAAGCCGTGTACATTATGCAGTACGTGTGTGTGTGTGTGTCCGTGTGTGGAGCAATTGTGTTTTCTCTCGCATGGCAGAGTCGAATGTGGCGCGATGCTCGCCAAAACGTATACACACACACACACACACACACACACACGTAATATAGCAGCAGTATATACACACGGGTCAGCTACCCCGCAGCCAGTGCCGTCGGATTACAAGACCCCATAGAGGGAAAAATGTAATATAAAAGGCTTATGAGCTAAGCCGTTAATATGTTGTATATGTGTGTAAGTATACGACGATGACAATATAGTATTATGTTCATGCGTAGGCGCAACTCACCACCGGCGGCACCAAACGCAAAGGCGGCGGCGGCGGCTACGTATTAGAGCTATTTATTATATATACATATATCGCCTATGTATATGGATGACTTTGGGCTGTGGTGTCGACTCCTGTACTATGCCCGTGTACACACGTATACGCGCGCGGGCAAGACATATGCCCCCCGTGATCTTACGTGTGCTATATATCCTAACGAGAAAGAAGAATCGAGGGGGTCGCGTTAAATCTTTTCACAATTGTCATAGCTGCACATGTGCAGTCTGTGCTCCATTTTTTTGTTGTCAACGGCAAAAAGTCACCCGAATTGAAGCTCCACCGTATTATCTATTCGAGCTGAGCTCTGATTTTACGCGGACATTTGATTACTCGACGATGCTGAAAAAGTTCCGAAATCATAGGTAGCAATTGATCAATAGCTATTAAAATTCTAATTAAATTTTTGAGAAGCTGAACGCCCAATCGAAGAATTCGCTGAGGTAAATTTACTGATACAAGACGAGGAATGTTGGTATATTTTTTTTAGGATCGGCCCTGAGATGTAGAGAGAATATGAAAGGTATATTTCAATCTGTAGCAATCGGAATATCAAGTTGTAAATCCCAACAGAAGCTTTCATCCCTGTTATATTAAGTCAGTATCGAGCTCACGAGCTCTTCTCTTTCTCAATAAGCGGCATTCCTCCCGGACGATTGAGTCAAGGCAATGAAATTCTCGCACCGACTCTCTCTCTCTCTCTCTCTCTATCTCTCCTGGCCGTCGAAGGGAGTTTTCGTAACCATGGCCGGATCCCATCTTCTTCAGACGTGTTCACGAGGCTCGAGCTGGCTCAGCGTGCGCTTATACATACGTTTGCGCAGGAAGAATTGTCGTGTGGGTGTGTGTGTGTGTGTCGGTGCGCTCACCTACCTCGACACGTGTCGACGCGTGGCCGAAAACTAATTGAGATCTGCCCAACCGTTGCAGCTCATACTGCGCGAGGATGAACTTGTCAGTTTCGATGTGCACCACTACCCGGTCTCTGTTTATGAATACGCCAATTCCGAATCTTTTTTTCCTGAACTACCTTTCATTTCGTTGTCTACTAACGCCTCTACGTAAGTGCATTTTTTGAAATATCTTTATTTTGGATCTACGTTATGAAATTCGATAAAATTACATTGATAGTCAATTTCATAAACCGTATTAAAGTGTACGTTGAAATTGAATTTTTTTTTATTCGCAAAAGTAAGCATTATATAGTAAGCATTAATAAAAAAAGATATCAAATAAATCATTTTCTAATTTCACGACAAAGCGGGTACAGCTTTTAAGTCTAAGCACTATTCTTGGTTGAAATGAAATTCAGTTATTCACCAATTTCAATGATAGCTTCGTGAGATTCTGATGGACTCAAGACAAGCTCTTGACAAGCCAGCTCGATTCAGTTATGCGATACTAAAGCCTTGGATCATCTAGTGGATTTAGGATTCACAATACCAAGTTTTTTTCTGAAAAGTACTTAATAACAGGCCGCAACTCTATTAAATCAATAAAATGAAACAATTAAAAATACTTAATTCATAAACGAACAAATTCCATGGGGTGGAACGAGGTGTGTTTAATCGATATCATGGAAATGAGAAAAGTGTATTTTTTATTACAAATCGCTCTATTGGAACTACCGAGCATTAAGTTTACCATCTAATCAGCTGGGATAAAAAAATCCAGGTCATCCGTCTAAAAGTCTACGGAAATAGAAATACATTTCTTTCTATTTTTACTTTTGATTAGGTTGAAAAAAAATGTAATTGAATTATGAAGTATATGAGCGATTATTATTTCGGAAATATTTAGATATCCTGTGGGATCTCGTCGAATTTACAGGCCGAATGTAATTGCTCATCTAGTTGCGGGCATAAAGTTTATTTTGACTTTGTAATATGATCACAAAATTGAAGTTGGAGCACGAGCGAGGAAGCAAAAGAGGCAAATATTATTTGTGCACGGCCTTATTAGGAAGCGAGAACGCGTAGGCATTTAGAATGGTAATTTTTGCTGGCTCTCTCGCTCGGCGTAGCGTCGTCGAGCTTTAACGAGCTTTCGAGTTGTCGATGACAATTATAAAAGAAATTGCAATTTCCCGTCGATGATCCCGCGCGCGTTCGATGTATCAGAGTTAATAAAATCAAGCGGTAAAGCGAAACTGCTTGTCAAAGAGTATTTTGAGTTTATGTAGTGGCGTATGGAGCGAGCTTGCGACTTTTTGCGGGTGTAGCTGCGTCAGCGTGTGCTGCTGCGCACACGCGAGTGTGTGTGTGTGTGTGGGGCTGTGGGGGTGATGGTCCGTGTGGGTATGAAAACGCATTGGTTCGACTGCAGTGATCCAGACAGTTTCAGTTAATTTAGAGGCCATTTCCCTCGGTAAATAGCCAATAAAAGCCGACGGCGCGTTGCTGCTATATATACGTACAGCACGCGGAAACGAGAAAGAGGGCTCTCTCTCTCTCTCTTCTCTGGTTCGAGGCGGCTCACGGGACGCGCGAGTCGCGTTTTCGCATCATCACGGCAACGAAAAACGAGCTATATTATAAAATTTAATGTCCTGCTTTATTATGTATAGTTATATTATACGCGCATACATTGTACCGCGCTACACACACGTGTCTACGGAAGCGCGCAAGCTCGTGAGTAAGTATAAAAGCTCGCGCGGCCACCGGCGCGCCATGTACCGTACTGCAGCTCAATTTTCGATTTTGGTCTAGCATCATCGCCGACGACGACTAAAAGTTATGCTTTTTTGTGGCTGTGCGTGCGAGAGTCTATCGTGCGCGTTGTTGGCGTGGTAAAGCCACAAATCCCAGCGTGCGAGACACATTGTTGCTGGCCGCGCGCGATGTAGTTCGCTTTGGCACACAAGTTGCACATTCGTGAAATAATTGAAATTTTGCGAGAAATTTTCATTTTCTCTCCGCGTCGCGCAAAGCAATCAAGGGAGTCGAGAAGAGAGAGGCCAAGTATGCCAATTTATTATTTTAGCTTGTAATTTAATTTTTTATTTTCGAAATTTATTTCTTCGGCTAATTAAAAATTAGTCGAAGGAAAGATGTGTTAAGGATTTGGAAAATTTGGTAATAACAAAAGGATTGCCAGGATAATTTTAGTGAAGGAAATGTTAGGAGCTACTTTTTCTTTCAACAAAAGCTCCATAATAAATTGTCATTGAAAAAATGTATATCTCATTAAATTCTTTTAATATTCTTTATAAAAAAAAGCAAAAAATGTTTCGATAGCAGGAAGTTTTACCAACGATACAATATTCGATGATTCAGTAACAGTTACGGAGACACAAAGACTCGCGAGTAAAATGTCAAGATGAATATATCATAGTTGCAGATGGTTGGTGTTGCGCTCGAGCCTATATACTTGCACAGGTTCTGCAATAGAAGCAGCTATTATCCCTGTGAAACAGCAGCAGCAGCGAAACGACCGAGCAAAGAGAATACGGTATATAGTTGCTACGATATCGCAGGTATGTACGTGTGAACTCTGTCTACGTATATATAGTTAGAGAGAGAGAGAAAGATAGAGATGCTCTTGGTATATACATATAGGCGCTCGTTGGTTCTCGGTACATATATATATATAGGTACAGTGGCGGCGGCGGCGTCACCCTGCGAGCACGGAAATCAAGACTAATGCCAACACGAAACTGCACTACCCCGCGCGCCCTTTGGCTCGTACGCACAGACACACACAGACGCATGAGAGCCGGAGCTAGCTTATATTGCGCGCTGCCCTATACACCCTCGCGCGCGCTCGGCTCTGAAATACAGCTCCGCTGCTCACTGCTCCTCGCAGTCGCTATAGCAGTCGGCGGCGGCGGCAGCTTTCCCCCGTCCGACCGGAGAGAGAGAGAGAGAGCAATACGCCGCGCGTATACACCTATACAGCTCTAGCTGCTCTTAGATATATGGACACGCACACGCGCTTATATCCAGAGCAGTTCTGTAGCTCCTACTCGACTACCTATATATATGCTGCAGGAGAGCAGAGAGCAGCATAGCACGCGGATCCACGGCCTCCGGGGAATTACCTGCTGTTGCTGCCAGAGCACCAAATGTATATACAGCAACCGAGAGCGAGATCGAGCCGCATGCCACAGCTCGACGCCACTCGCCTCCTGCACTATACGCCACACAGTCTATGTAATATACTCCGGGCAGCTCCGACAATAGGCATCGGCTCTGCGAGACGAAAAGCTCGAGTACGCCGTCGACCGACAGTTCCGTCATGCGGACGAAGACGACGACGACGACGAACTCGCGATTCTCGAGCTTGCAGAGAAATCATCGTTCCGAGCGCGCGTCGATTCGCTAAAGCGCCAACCGAGACAGCCGCACTATATTTAAAGCTTATATGTTCCTCGCGCGAAATTCGGCCCTGAGCCATGTAAGAAAGCCCCGCACGGTATACGTGGGTCGCTCTCGGGGATATCGCAGTCTTTTATCGGAGGATCACCCAGTCGATCGCTTCCCGGCCAATTCTGGCTTTTCGCACGTATACCTAAGGAATATCACGGAGCCGACTTCGCTGGCTCATGTACTTATACGCACACGCATAAACGGTGTGCGTAGGCCAAGCTCCATATACGAAATCGGTGTCGCACACGAGCTGCGAGCGAGCTGTGTGTCGGGGCCGCCACCGACGGAGCGAGCCCAAATGCGACCATTCGTATGATCGGCGCGAGCTCTTCCCGTGTACCTTATACTCTATAGCACCACCATGAGACCGACCTGCGTGAGCCTGCTCCGCTGCCTTCTATAGCATCATCCCCCCTCGCAGCCAGCCAACTTGTACCTAGCGCTGAAACATCTTTTAATATACACTATATCTTCGATGATCCGAGGGGCTGCCTATACTCTTTTCTCTCTTTTTTCTCATCTTCTTTTTCTTACTCTCTCTTCTCTGCAGTTTTTTTTCCTTTGCAAAATTATATCAAAAAATTTTAAATAAGCTTTAAACTAGCTAATTTTGGTATTCAACCAATCGTACCCGGAAAACATAATCGTTGAAAGAACTTTTTAAAAATTTAATTTACTTTAACTTTTTAAAATTAAAAAAGCATCGAAGATCTATCCCTAATCCTAACTTTATTGTCGGCAGTAGAGCGCAGAAACGAATAGATTCGAAACTGAAAGGGCAAGGCACCTAAGCTTACAAGCGCACTATACACAAGGGTGATAATTATAGAAATGCGCCGCTGCAATTTACAAAATGAATCTTATATCTACTCATATTGCAGCTGATTAAATTAATTTCGCTAAATTAATTGCCAGTTAAGATGTTTAGTCTTAATTGAGAGAGTCTAGATTCTCAACCATCTCGATCCTAATTCTCTATTACCTCGTCATCACTGTTCTTCCTCACCTTCATTTATGCAAGCTCACTTTCACTCCTTGTGTGTACTCTAAAACTTTCGCTCATTTAATTCGAGAAAGGTTCAAATAAACGAGTATCGATGGCAAATCAAGAAAAGAGGAAATTTTACAGTGCTACCGAAGTTTATACGAATGATTTAATTTGATTGTTAATCAGTCCAGTTTCGTTAATCAAACACATCAGAGTTCATTTCTATTGTTATTTACTCACATCTGTTCATAATAGATACATCTACTCATTATAAAATGATTAGCTCATTAGATTTTGAATAATTACTTGGTATCTACGACTATTCTTTCCTTTTTGAAGATTCAATCCTTAATATTGTACCAAGTAAATTTTTAAAACGAATGATAGGCGACATCTTGCGTATTATTCGTAAGTTGCAATTCTGATTTGTGTGAACTTACCGATCAAAGATAACAGCAACGTGAAAATGAGAAAAACAGGCGTCGATAAAGCAGAATAAAACTGACTTACAAGGTATTAATTTCAAATAGTTGTATAAAGTTTCAACACTTAGTTTCTTGAACAATAAATTTTATTAAAATGTTAATATTAATAAAGATACAATAAATTTCGATTCATTATTTTTTTTAATTTGTTCAAATAGCTCTTACAGAACCTGTGCAATTTATTGTACATTGTCAAAATATACATTGTTATGTAGCAGTACAGTAAACTTTAACATTTTATATATCATTTGTAAACATTCATTTAAAACAATATTCTATTGTATCAATAAAAAATTATCGTTAAAATTCGTATTGGCACAGCTCTCAAAAACATCCACTCTTCAATTCAAAATTAAACGTCTTTATAATACTTGTTTTTTTAAGGCATTTTAATGCACAACACATAGCTGTGATTAGACAATTTTTGTATATAGGCTTGTAAGATGTTAAATTTATTTAGAGATTACAAACTTTTATAGCTATTTAAATCCACTGTGAGCAATTATTATTCAAGTGAGTCAAAAAATTGCAGCCTAGAGATTGTTAAATGCACTTGTGTGTAAAATTGGATTTTTTGTAGTTTATGCTATTAAGGCAAGAAGGCACTTCTTATAATGACCGCTACAATCATCCTAGAAATTAAATTATCAGACAGTTAACAACTCATCAGTTTTTCAATAAATGTTTAAGTTAATATTATGTAGAGACTTACAGAAATAAAGCTTTCTAAAGACTGTCCGTATTGTTGAAGGAAAGCTTCTTTAATTTCTCCCATATCTATTTCAGAACGTGTAACAACCAAACGGATTAAACGTCTGTCCTGGGTACCCATACCCTTCATACTCTTGTACAATTGTTCAGCAAAGAATCCAGCTCGATTCTTAACACACTTAACTGAAATATTATAAACAAGATGTAGATATACAATTTGAAAATAATAATAGATCAATATAATGAACAAGATAACTAAAAATATATTTACCAATAGCTAATAATCCTTTTTTAATGTCCCCTGAAAATTCATTTTCAATAGCTTGTTCAATATCATGACCTGTCATGTATTGATACTGTTCAAAAATCGCCCGTAGTTGAGCAATATTCCTCTGAGCGAGTACTGCATTGAATACTGATTCATCAGTTCCAAAACGAAGTTCACCTGAAGTAAAAAAATATTATTAAGTTATATTTTTAGACATTTTTAAGTCTGAAAATGTTATTAAATTAATGTCTTACCAGCTTGCAGGAGTTGTCTTGCATCTTCGGTGGCTGCTGCTGCATCAACCTCAAATGTTTCATCTCTGTTAGCACAACATAGAGAAATCATCAACCTTTCAAAGTTTCCAGAAGTATCAGCACTCAAATCATCTTCTAAAGATTTTCCAAACACTAGAATGAAATAAATTTAATTAAAATAATGTTAAGAATGAATACGAAAAAAAAGTAAAAATTATAAATAATTAATCAACTAACTAGATTCATAAGCTTGCTTGATGATACGGATTTCGTGGTTTGACATTGTGCAAAGAATTTCAATTAAGACGTTCTCTTCTGTACCAATGCCTGACATAGCTTCATGTAATTCTTTCGCAAAATACTGAGGCAAAGGTGTCATCATAGCAACCAATAATTTTTCAAAATTTCCAGATGTTTCTGATTTCAGGTCTTTGATTAAATCCTATGGACAACAATAATAAATTTATAAATTAATAATTAAAATTGAAACAAGCTTCATTTGAAACACATACTTTTCCATATAGAGTTTTAAATTGCTCCGCAATTTGTTGCCGCTGTAAATTAGTTCGATTAGCAAGAACTTGGATGATAGATTTTTCATCTGTTCCGAATCCTTTCATAGCTTTGCGTAAGACTTCGGCATCACTCCTAGGATCAAAGTTAGGGAACTCCTGTACAGTTGGAGATAGCTGTAATGCAATAAGAATTCCATGAGTAAAATATAGTATCTAATTTAAATTTATCCAATAAGCACAACAGAAACATTATTTGAACATTATAGAAATTATCATGTGGTTATTGGAATATTTTTACTTTAATGTGGTCCCTTATTATCTTTTACCTTATTTCGAGCTTTAGTGATTCGAGGGGCAGGTACAGGTCCTCCATAATTAAAATTTCCATTACCTTGGCCCCCAGAATACCCTCCGCCCGGGTAGGGAGATGTTTTACTACCATGCATAGGTAACATGCCAGGGTTTGGTAATTCATGCTCAAGGTTATTTAGACTAGGATATAAACCACTTCTAGGACTAGGATTGGGCACATTAGAATAATTATGCTGATTACCTTGTGCTGGGTTTGTTGGATAGGAAGTACCTGGATAAGGTTGAGGGTTTTGCGAAGTTGAATTAGTTGGTGGATATTGAGGCATACCTGGCGCTGAATAAGGAGGTTGAGGTGGGCCTGATTGGAATTGTTGCATTAGTGGAGATGGGTAAGCTGGTTGTGAACTTGGATAAGGTTGATGAGGTTGAGATCCTGGATAGGTCGAGTGAGGTTGTGATCCTGGATATGCCTGGTGAGGCTGTGATCCTGGATATGATTGATTTGGTTGCGATGGTGGATAATTTGGAACAGATGTAGAATTAGGATTATAAAAATGCTCAGGTGGGTGAGTAGGATTAGGATAAGTAGAGTTTGGCTGTGGCATGCCAAAGGAAGTTGGTTGTTGTTGTGTTGCTTGTGGATATGGTGGAGTAGAGATTGGCTGGGGCATGCCAAAGGAAGTTGGTGGTTGATTAGATGGATAAGGCGGAGCGCTTGGACCACCTGAGGGTGTTCCTGGAGGAAGTCCAAATGAGGTTGGTGGTTTATTTTGTCCTGGGTATGGTGGTCCCTTGTTCAAGAGAGAATCACACAGTGTAATGAGTGCAATTTGAATAAAAACTACTACATTTGTTTGAAAATATCATTGAAAAAGTAATTCATTTCACGCTATTAAATCTCTTAGTTTGATATTCAATCTACTGTGCTCAAAAAAGAAAAAGCAATGTAAAAATAGTAATGAATTAAAATTTACCTGGTATCCGTAACTCATTTTGGTAGCTTTAGATTAAATAAGATCTGGAAATAAATAATACAATTAGAGATTTAAAAATAATTAACATTTATAATTTAAAAAATGAAAATTGAGATCAAATGTATAATTATATAGATCATTGTGCTAAATAAATTTATTATTGACCAGAATAATTGTTTAATGATGTAGATAAGATAGATGTTATTATAACAAGGATAAAAAGACAAGCGTTTGACAGTCGAACGACAGCACAGTGGTCTAAGACTCTAAGGTAACAAGATAGTTTCAAAAGTAACACGCGATCGGTGCAAGCTAAACAAACTATCTATAGACGCTATATGGACTAAGACCGATCAAGAAGTACTACGACTTCACGTACGAAGAACAAGAATATTGCACACAAGGATACGACGACGACTGTAACCCTGGATTTGGCACAACTTAGGTATATAAATTACAAAGTATTACTTACAAAGTGTAAAGCGTATAAAAGATATAGGTTCAATTTCGAGGGCCGCACGGGTGTGTATAGAGAACGAAGTGCCTCGGAACGCGAACTACACAGCAATGATGAATCAACGCTGCCAATTACGTTTATTAACTAGACGCGATATATAGATATATAACGATATCTTGCGTGTTTCACCGCTCACGTACTAAATACGTACATGATGTGAGAGTGGCATTTGCGTCCGCGGCGGTATCCGGCGGGGCGCGGGTATTACCCGTAATGTCGTTTTCGAGAACAACGGATCATGTGTCATACGTCACGCCAGTGTCTTCTGCTACGACAGGCGTGTGTTGTGTGTGCATATTCTTCTATATACTGTGTTTGTATACCTACTACAAAGGTGTCTCAAGACCACGCTACATAACGATGTCGACACTCGCGATTTTAATACACGGTCTGAATGCCGTAAATGCTCGTACGATTGGTAAACTTTTGCCATCGCATTGATTTCAAATTGATGCTAATTCATAAAGCTCGAGTCCACTGCGACGAAAAACCGCATAACTCTACGATAAGAATTCAAAATTCAAACGCGCGGTGACTGGTCTCGCTTAATTATCTTGTTTGATAAATTTAAATCTATTGTTCGGTAATGTTCCATCGAGCCCGTGACTAGCGGTGTATCGTTGAAAAGATATAATTTATCGAGCGCATGCAAGCACAAAGTGAAGCTTGCAATCCCTATGCCCAAAATCCTTAAAATTACAGTCGACGTGTGAAAATGTCAAAATCGTTACCTTCTCACGAGCGAAATTTCGCAGATGTTTAACAATTCGACGTAGCGCGTAGGTATATACAGCTGTATAACGCAGAACTCGGGTTTTGCTCGCGCGCGATCTCTGCAAAGCAGCAACTAAGCGGCGTCGGGCCACGTCATCGCCGCCGCACTTTACACACACAACGTATATTGGCGATCGAGTGGGGAAAATAATACAGTTTGCTTGTGTGTACACACGAGTTTCTCTCTATATACGTATGTGGAGTCTGCAGAAAAATATCTATACGTATATTGTACACTATTGCGTGCACAGATATATAGGTGTATAGCATAGGCACGGTCAGCTTATTTTCCTTCGACCGCCGTGACAGCTCGCGCTCGCGCGAGGCTCTGTTGTGCATCAACATAAACATTGCGAGCGGCTATTTATACTCGATATAATTGCACGAGAGTTGCGAGCAATAATCGTCTGTGTGTGCATGTGTAGCCGCACGAGAAGGGAGATAATAACGCACTGCGGCGATAAAATATACATTATGTAATTTCGAATCTATCTCGCTTTTGATCTGACGCTCGCATGCAGCGACTCTATCGCGAGCTTCATCTATTGTTTACTGCCGCGATGCCAGCCCGACTTCATTTATTATTAACTCAACTAAAAGTGACCGATGATCGATTCATTTGTTATTTTTTTAGGTATATATGTTGAGTCGAAAATTGGCGATTTAATATTTTTCAGCTCGCTTGAATGTTGCAGACGAGTCATAAGATAAAATTAACTCTAATTAATTAAGTTTGAGATATGATCGTTGATGGGTAAGTGCCTTGGCAAATGAGACGTAGCAGAATGAACCTAAGAGTTCAACTATTACACTATCCAATTCGTTTTTATAAATGTATTCAATTTGATTAAATTGCACGAGGAAAAAGATAAACGCGCAAAATACCATTTGCTAAATTTCTTGAGGAAATATCCGAAGCCAAGGTTAACATAAAAATTTTCAAACACGTTTTCCAGGATTCCCACTGAATTATTTTCGAAAAAAACTACGTAAACGTCTAGAAAAATATCCAGTAAAAATCTCAAAAAATTTGTTAGAACATTTTAGCCTCGCTCTTATATTAATTTATAATGATTTTTAATCGCCCATTTTACCTGATAAATTCGTTGTTTCTGCCTATTTTTCTAAGTTCAAAAAATGAACTAAAGAATTGAAAAAGATAGCATCTAGTTCAAATAGTGAAAACTTGAAAATCGATTTCGAAAAAAATCGATGTATGTAGCCGGAAGATTATCAAAATTATCACTCCATTCTTTAGAGATAAATATTATGTCTCAGTACTCATCACTCAGTTATCATCACGATGCTTACCGTGTTTTTGACCATTTTATCTTACGGTAGCATTTTAAATTTACTATTAGAATAAGGCTTTATTAGAATAAGACTTTGGAAAAAATTAAAGATTTTAAATAAGCTTTCGACTATTTGAAATAAAAGCTCTACTACAAAAGACCGACCATTTAAAATATCTTTATCATTAAAACCAACAATAAAAGCTGTTACTAATTCCATAAAAGCTTAAAATCGTTTTATGCGAAGCATGTAATATTGCGCTTTTTATTCAAGTAATGTTCATATTAGTTAGAGTAGGAGCGCTAAAAATAACCGAGAACTCATTTGCGCGTTGATCGGCTTAGGCTCTCGTGACAAGTGTTTAGGATCATGCCATGACATTTGAAAATATATGAAATAAACGCTCGTGACAAGTATTGTTCGTGTTCACCAGCTCCATTTACAGCATCTGAATCTTTTACCTACGAAAATACGGTGAGTTCAAAATTTCGTCGCATTTCCATTTCGAATTTTCGTCCTTTGCAAGATTTAATTAACCTCTTGAAACTTGATTAAACTGCTTATTTGAGTACTCTTGAAATTGTTCATCATTTTAAGCAATTAATTTAATAACTTAACCTTGACACTGGAAAGAATAATTTTGATTCGAGATAAAAAATAAACAGTGTGAGTTTTTTTTAAATTAATTTTTCTTTCTTTTGTTTACAATAATTCTTTGAAAAAAACTATGTTTGATCGCTGCAAATATTAGTATCATTTGAAATAAAAATTGAATACACCTCTATTGATTCATCAGCAAAAATGTTCAATAAATGTCTGAATTTTGCTCATTTGTGATGACTATCATTACTGTCGATCTAAGATTAAATGCAATAAAACGACGGGTATATTCGAAAAACGACATGGGATGCGCAGATTAGAGCTTTTCGTTGCTTGCGCAAACTGGTAAGTCAAAGTCTCACGCTGACTACTCGCACTTCTTAATATTTATTTTAACAAAACGCATTCGCTTTTGTCAATCTTCATTTATTTCGTTCATCAGATATTTATAACTGTCGACGAATCTCTTTTTATTCATGTATAATAATTCCATCATGACGATATTATTTGATCATGAAATTGATCAGCCAATTATCATCTCTCATTTTGTATAATCAAAAAAAACAAAAGATAAATAAAACGGTTTTTATTGATATTTAAGTCGTTGATAAAAAAATAAACAGCTCATTTGAGGTATTAGTTACAAAATACTCGTTTTGAACTGTGTCTGTTACATAATATTTATTTATAAAAATATTTTCCATCGATGTGAATATAACTAAAATAATAACGTTTAATTTTATTTCAGGGGTTGAATTGATGTAAAAGGCAACGCCATACTCAAATAATTGTTCAAGATGTTGCGGAGTTTAATTTTTATATTTTTTCTACATTATCTAATAAATTCTACAGGTACTTAAAATTTTATTCAATTAAAGAGGTTCGGGGGGTCTGATTATAGGGAGATGAATGTGGAAGCGTGGAAATCCTTTTTGTTTTAAATGAACAGAGTTGTCAACTTCGCGATAGCTCTTTTTTTGTTCAAAAATTTATAATTTCTCAAAATTTGACGATGAATCAACTCATTTTGTGGTTAAATCGTTCCTTGTAAAATTTATCACAAGTGCATATTTTTTATTATTTTTCACATTTTTCTCCATAAAATATTGTATTTTGATGTAAATGCTTGAAACGAGATTACTGGATCTTATTAAAATGAAATTTATTTTATGTAACTGAAAGCCAATTTTTTAATACAATAGCATCTGATAAGCCATGTGACCCCGTAAATTTTGGAGAGGGTAGCATCGTGTGCAGATGCAACTCCACTTACTGTGATGAGTACGATGATCCGGTGCTCCCGACTGAAAATGAATTCATATGGTACGCATCAAGCAAAGCTGGCTTAAGGTTGCACCGCGAAAATGGAAAAATTTCTTCTACCACTCGTTCGTCTCACAAAATTAGAATAAATGCAAATAAGCGATATCAAAGTGTAGAAGGTTTTGGAGGTGCTTTTACGGATGCTGCTGGAATAAACATAAAAAATCTCAGTGTAGAAGCTCAAGATAATTTACTAAGGTAACAATAATTTTTAAATATTTGATTAGTCTAGAGAAGGCGTTGATTCTTTTCGTTTCAGCTCGTACTTTGGTCCCAAAGGTGCCAAATACAATCTGGGCAGAGTTCCGATAGGGGGTTCGGATTTCTCAACCAGGGGTTACACGTACGACGATACTCCTGGTGATGAGCGACTAGAGCATTTCAATTTAGCAAATGATGACCTTGAGTATAAAATACCGGTGATGAAAAAAGCTCTTGAATTGAATCCCGAACTTCGTTTCTTATCGGCAGCTTGGACCGCTCCAATATGGATGAAAAATGAGCCCAAATACTACGGCTACAGTAATGATTAAAAATAATTTATTTTGAAAAATCATCCAAAGTTTTTCATTCCGATGATTTTAAAATAAAACGCGTAATCTACTGTTTTCAGGTTATCTTCAAAAGGATTATTATCAAGCCTTTTCTAATTATCTGATTAAATTTTTGGAAGCTTACAAGGAGCATGGTCTCGATATGTGGGCGATTTCTACCGGAAATGAACCCTTTACAACCTTGCTACCAGTTAAAATAAGTTCCATGTTTTGGGCACCGAGTACCGTGTCGAAGTGGGTGGTTGAAAATTTTGGGCCAACATTACAAAAATCAAGCAGCAACAATACAATCATTTTGATGGTGGACGATCAACGATTGTACTTGCCTTGGTTCATGCTAGCTGTCAAAACTTTTGATAAGCAGGCTTTAAGTTACATAAGCGGAGTTGGAGTACACTGGTACACCGACGACTTTGTACCTGCGTCTTTCCTCGACTTGACTCATAAATTTATTCCAGACAAGTTTATCTTAATGACAGAGGCTTGCGTAGGTAAAGTTTAAGCTTTTGTTTATCTTTCCATTTCTTTTGTTATTTATTCTCATTTGTAGGTATTTAAATTAAAAATTTTTAACTCTTAATGTAGGTGACAAACCTTGGGAGCATCCAAAAGTTATATTAGGTTCATGGGCGAGAGCTGAAAGACTGATGGGTAAAATGTTGCAGGTATACAAAATAGATACTTTGATAAGCTCCTGTTTATCATTTGATATGCATTGATATGAATAAATGACTAGGATGTAATTTTACTATTTCAATAATCTTTTACGTTACAGAATTTGAACCACTGGGTCACGGGTTGGGTTGATTGGAATTTAGCTCTTAATGAACAGGGTGGACCGAATTGGATAGAAAATTTTGTCGATGCTCCAATAATTGTTGATGGAAGTATCGATTCGTTTTATAAGCAGCCAATGTTCTATGTATTGACCCATTTCAGTAAATTCGTACCTCGAGGATCCGTGAGGATCGAAAGTATTAGCCAAAATGCACATGTACAGTCGATAGCATTTACTTCAAAATCCGATCAAACGATCGTCATTTTGTTCAACAAGTAATATCCTACATCAATCATATTATGGATAATATTAAAACAAAATCTAATTGTATAATGAAATTTTGCAGAAGCGAGAAAAAACAACAGATATCGGTGGTGGACGATCGTGTCGGTGCAATCGACATTGAGCTACCAGCGTCTTCGTTCCACACTATTCTTTATAGTGGATCTTCTAAACTTTTGTAACTTGTAAATAGTACAATCATATAAACATTTTTTATAATAATTTTTTCAAAAAACTGCGTATGAATAGTTTTTGGAAAATAAAACAAAACAAACAATCTTCAAAATAATTTATTAAAAACCTTGAATGTTTATTAGTTGAATCGTTATTTATCTGCAATATATGACAGCTTATTGATATAACCGTCGTTTGTGTCATATATAGTAACTATTATACTTGCGTGAGCGTGTATGGCGACTTCTTTCAAGTTACACAATATCAAGCCCTCATAATGTTCATGTTTGTTCAAACATATTTTCCGTACTTGTGAAATGGCAGTATAGCATCCAACAATTTTTACTTATTACAAATTATAAGATAACCTTAGATCGTGATACTGAATTTCGTAATTTTTACGAGCGTAAAAAAATTAACATTCAAACTTCTACAACTAGGAATCATAACACTAATTTTCATGTTAATTTAATAAGTGTGCGTTGTTGAAATGATAATAGTAACCATTTGTGAATGATTAAGGTTTTCTACTAGTTTTAACTGCTTCAAGAACTTGCTACCCTTTCGTTCTTAGTAAAATAAATCTCATAGAACATTCAATATTTTACATATGTTTATAACAACTATTTTTATAACTGCACTCGAGTGCATACGTTTTATTGTCAGTGATCTTCTGACGATCTTGACGTTTTCTATAACAGTTTCACACTTATTCATAAGAATATTCACACACATGAGTACTGATTTTTCACATAATTTTTTTCAGCAGAACCAAAAATTGAGAGAAGCCAGCTAAAGGTACCACAAGTCCCTAAAAATTGGAATTAAAAATAATTTAATTGCATGATAAAATCCTTTACCTTTTGTTCTTTAAATATTTTGCCCCGTACAGTTTACATTCTATCCAAATTCCTGCATATAATGTAAAAAAAATGCGTAACAATTTACTTTAATTGGCAGTAGCTTGTGAGTATTCATAGGATACTTTAGTAAAAAAATCATTTTTTGAATTGTTGATTGATGTCCAATAATATGCAAACAAATCTTTGATTGCTAATATTACTTAGATATTATTGAAATGAACACGAAAGTTGTTCCTTAAAATCCTATTGCAATTTATTTTGAAAAGACTATTTTTAATCATAGTTCTTTTAGTATTCCGTTAGAAGCTTTTAATGCTTTTATCAAGTTTTCATTAATATTTTTATTAAAAGCAATTCTAATATTTTTTATGATCAATGTTGTTTTGATATCAAATTCCTTAGAATCATTTTCGGCAGCTTTACGACAACAAAATTTTTCATCAGTTTACGTTGAGGTTATCAAGCAACAAATAGTCTTCTGTTAATTTTTCAAAAAAATTCCTTTTGCAATTAGTCTTATAGTTATCGTGAACTATAACGTTTTAAGAAACGATGTACTTAATATATAGTAATTGAAAATTTAAAAAAGTAGCGCAACGATTCTTGCGAAAATTTCCGTTTTTTAAAAGTTAGACGACGATGTGAACAATACATATGCTCCGAACATTATTTATGCACATTATCGAACTTTTCATTAACGGACTATTTGAAAATTCGTATCAAAACCCATATTTAAAAAAAAGTCTAAAATGACACATTTGTCGTTAAATTGAACACATATTCCTTTCATTTGATAAGAATCGCATATAAACAACGTGAATTGTATGAAAATTGATCATCAACTGTCGAATCTATGCATTTGAAATTAATCTAAGTGGAAAATTGATGTGGAACATTTAAAAGTAGAAAAAACTTTAGATATTAACTAATCATTATCGTTTGAGAAACGAGGCTTAGAAAGTTTGGCACACATAATGCAAGTCTTGAACGGTTTTTGGTCCCGATAAATAAACGCTTAACTTAGTTGAAATATTTTATTGAACAAGATAGGACAGTTGTGCACAATTAATTTATTTTGAATCGAATAATTTTGTGCCTATTTATGTATCAAAAACTTATTAACTGATATGATCATTCAAATTGAATTAACGATTTGATGCATCATAAATTTATCAAATTTTTCTCAGTTTCGACAGTTGATCTCATTTTGTACATTATATTATTAAATCTATGGACGACGACGAGTTCTTTTATAAATAAGAGACATTGTCATATTATAAAAGAACAATCCACTAATAAAAATAAATTAATTTAATAATTATTGGATTTTGATTGATCAATTCTTTTTACGCTTTTTAGATGGAGTGTAAGTACATCATGTATGTACTCGTTGCAATGAAATATTGGCAGTATGCGATCAGACATTTTAAAATTTTCTACCATCATTACAATTTACAGCACTGAATGTAAACTAATCTTGGATTAGTAATGATTCCTAAAAAAAGTTCAACCTTCAAAGTTTGTTTATCTGGCTGCACGTAAATAATTATTATTACTTATATTCATGAACGCGATGCATTAAATATCTCCAAGTACGTAGTTTTTTGATTCCTTCTTAACAACAAAATTAAGCTTACATGGCGACATTGTTTACTTAAATTTAGTAGTTTACGAGCAATCGCAATAATGTACACAGATTTCACGAGTATATTCGAATATTCGCGCCTTCTGAGATGAAGCAGGGCAGTGAAATGCAAGAAATAAATGCAATAAAAAGAAGGGCTCGTTTGAAAAACGACACGGGATGCGCAGATTAAATCACTCCTCTCAGCCAATACAACTCGTAAAATCCAAGTCTCACACCGAATACACGCACATTTAATAATTAATATGTACAATATTTTAACAAGGCGCACTCGTGCCTCTTCCCAAATATAAGAAGTCGATCCTGCTCACTCGTATTCATTAACAGTCGTTGAACAAGATATCATCTGTTTCATAATTTTAAATCGATATATAATTCTTTAGGTAAAATTTAATATCGAGAATACTTGCGTTTAATGATAATTAATAATCATCGCATTGACGCGTGTGTCTCGGCGGACTGAAGAATTTTGGAGCACAGCTCCTTTATGTATTACAGGAAAACAGCGAAACGCTCATACTTGAGTCAAGTATTCAGTGCATTCTTCAATTGTCAATCTTCGCTTAATTAGTTTATCACATAAGTTTCGACTAGCTATGTTATTATTAATATTAATTATTATTCACGTATTATTGTTGTTATTAATTATTTATATTTTATCGTAATTTTTCCCCCATAACCATTCGTTTTGCCTCTAAGCATAATATTTCAATCGTTGAAATGCAGTAGTGGTATAATAGGAGAGTCGATAATTTGTTGAAACTATACTTTTGTTGTACTTGAATTATTATCTACTACATGCTGCGCGATTCATTCGAAGAACCGACTATATACGCCCAGTCGGAAAAACGTCAGCTTCGAATAAATCGCTCTCGAATAGTTTCATCCTCGTATAGATGCGGCATATCGCGTTTAGTGAAATGTCGAATGACCAATGGCGTCTTTCGAAAGATAATAAAAAGTGTGTGTGTGCTGCGCGACGGGCTCGCGGACGTCATACGTGTCTCGTCCCGCGCGCATTTCGTCATCAATTTTCACACTCACGCACGCAGACTATATAACACTCTCAGGCTCACGAGCGATCCTAAATCATGGTAAAAAAATTATGCGCGCACAGCGAAAAAGGAACAAACTCAATACTGCCGAGATTACTCTCGAACTCGCGTCGTTACACCCGACGACGATATTTAAATTCGTCGTAACGTGTAATCCCAAAAGCTCCAGTTATCGATTTTCCAATGAGGATTCAGTGGAATCGCTTCAGAACGGTATATGCTTGTGTTCCGAGACGAGTTCCGTACGCAGAATCGCGTTCATCGACGACAACGACGTTCACGTACCGTTGACTCTTCGTACTTGGCTTCGTTCGTCTTGTCTCTGCCTTTCAATTTTCTCTCTTAACGTGACCTGCAAAGAACGAAGAGCCGGATTAGTCTGCGATCGATCGATTACGAAAATTTACTTTCGAGAGAATTATCGTATGGTATACCCCCGAAATACGAAGGCGCTTAGTAGGAGAAGAGCCGACGAAGGAAGCGACGCCGAAGCAGATGTCCGTGGCAGTGGTGGTCGTGGTCGTCGCCGATGACGCTGGTCTCAGGTCGAGTGCGTCAGACCGTGGTGACGCGATCGATCTCGACGTAGCGCACGGAACTCTCGCTGTGTCAGCAAATCACCTCCTTGCCGTCGATGATGGCCGTCTCGGAGCTGATGCTCTTGAGGCGGCGCTGCGGGTGGAGCCGCGAGCCGACGACGCCGCCGGGCCCCGCCTGGCCCGGGTGGCAGATGCGCCACGAGGCGATGCACAGCAGGCCGCCGATCGAGATGAAGGCGATGGCCCCCAGGCCCAGGTGCATCGGCGGCAGCTGCAGCAGGATCGAGCAGTGGGTCAGGGCCTCGTCGTAGCCGGTCGGGCACTGGCTCGTGCCGTCGCACCAGAGCGAGCCGTTGATGCAGGCGTCCAGCTCGGGGCAGCGGTGCTCGCAGTCAAAGTCCAGTCGCATGCCCGCCAGCGCCGCGATCACGGCAGGCCTGCGTTATTAGCATCAGAGTTACTTTTCAATATCTTTCGAGGACAAATCTTTTTAGTCTACATACTACGTAGAAAATGAATTCATGTTCGTATAAAACAATTAAAATTAATGTGATTTGAATTTTGATATTTTTTATGAATAATTAATCATGAATTTTGAATAAAAATTTAATCGAACGTTTTTTTAAATTTTATAAATATAATACATTAATTTTAATTCTTTTTCGTCTTCACTTATATAATTACTTCAACTTTACCACCCGCAGATATGAATATATTAGGGTTCTCGCCATCTAGTGGTAGAGGTTGTAATTAATTACGACAGAAATTTCATAAAAGAAATTAAAACAAAATGACTAAACCCGAGTATTAATATAAATCTTTTTCGTTGTATTTTTACTTTAAATATAACGCAGGGCCGTAACCACTAATAGTAACTGGAGCTCCATGAGTAACCCAGGTAACCCCCTCTTCCCTTTCGAACATTTTTTTGGGCTACGGCCCTGATATAACGTATACGATTGAATTAACGACTTTTTTGCTTTCTACGAAGATTTCATACAAAATTATCTTAAAGAAATGCAGTATTATTTAACTTTAATTTTGATGTCTGATTTTACATTCGATCTGCATCAAATTAAAGGTTTTTTTTTTCAACAATTTAGATGTGACAATTGTAACTACCTGCGGGTAAGCTCGAGCCAGGTGACGCTGTAGTAGTCCTCCTCGTGCATGACGTACTCGATGGCAATGCTCTTGGGCGCCTCCTGTACCACCAGAGGCAGCTGGAACGGATTGCTGCCGTGGGGTATGTTCCAGCCCTCGCTGAACACCTCGACGACGTTGCCCCTGATGCTCTCGGAGGGCCTGGGGCAGACGGCGGCGCGCAGCCTCCCGGCCGTGTGCACGACGATGCGATTCTTCGTCTCGCACTTGGTGCGATTGTTGGCGTACGCCCCGGGCAGCTTGACGTAGAGGTACTGGTCCTGTCCGGGCTCGATGAGCCACGGATGGCTCGCGCAGTATTGCTGTGCAAAAGTTTCACCAAGTTTTACGATCGCAGCTATCTATATATAGTAGACGTATATGTACGTCGAGCGACTAGGTACTAAATTATGCCGGGGCAAATTGGCTCGAGCACTTACGTCTCCGTCGTCCTCGCTGGGCGAGTGATTTTTTATCTCGCCCGAGGGTCCTCGAACGCGCCGCTTGTCGACGCACGGCGTGGCCTTCGCAAAGTCCCACGTACCCTCGAAATAGACGTTCTTGTAGTCGTCGAGGGAAGTCATCGAGTGAACGGCGAAGTGCACCTCGACGATGTTTGACTTGGATTTGAAGTTCATGGGTAGCGAGCGATTCGAGCAGAAGCAGTCGCGCTGGATCGCCGGTGCATTGGGCCACGGCAATTCCATTACCTGCGAGCCAAGACAACGGTCAAATGCATTTTATTCGATTTGAATTTAACTTCGCTCGATCGGCCGGACAAACGCGCGACAGGTGATTAGGTCCGGTACGATTCTCTGACATATATACACCGCTAAAAGTCCATCATCGTTCATTCGGTCAGGAGCGCGTATTGACATTACGCCTCGGCGTCGCTACTAGATAACTTTACACATTTGGCGAATATTCAGCTCTCTTAATTAGGACTTGTAACCAATCGCTCAATTTTAATTTAGTATCAATTTTTTGGACTTGAATTTTTGTTTTTACGTAAAAAAGTTATTTTTTGCAAGGTTAGCTGAGTAACACTTGCGGGAATTTACAGTTCCCTTTCCCTACATCAAAGCTTCATTGAAATTCTAATAAAAGCGATTCTGCTGTCTGTGTGCTGCTCCCTCATCACGAGTTACCTATAATGAGCACGCTCGCCGCAGACAAGTATATATCACTTGTTTGGCAATTCGGTTTTAACTGGAGAGTAATGCGACGTCGCGCATAGCTCAACTGTGACACGAATTTCAATCATATAGCTTTACGTTTATTTGCGTATTCATGACTCCGCGTGACGTCGATTCATCCCCTAAGCGATTGGATCGAAAATTCTTGCCAACGAATACGCGTGTAGGCATTAGTCAACTTTATAAAGTCATAAATCTAAACTTCCATACAGAGTCACGCACGGTGGTCTAGATAATAATCGAATAACATTCGAGGGGCGCGAGAACGTTTCGCAAGTTCGAAATAGATTTTATGCTCTGATACTGTTCACACTTGCCATTACATAATAACTTTGATACTATATACCCGCACGGAAGTTGACCAGAATTATAGCAAATAATCGCATAGACGACTCCGAGCCAAAGCTCAACGGCCGCCATTGAATCTATTCATAAAAGTTATATCATATTAGTCTAGGGGCCAGTGGGTCCACCGTGGCCATGTCTTGTGTTATGGGTGCACTAAAGTTTTTCCTATGTATTTTGAGCAGCTGCAACTGAATTTCTATGGCGCATGTCGCTAAAATTGGTTGTAAAAAAATTATAAACAGATAACTATGCTATACCCATGTAAAAACCATGTTTTTTCTTATTTCTCTCGCTATATCTCGCTAAAATCAAAAAAACCCTCTCTAGAAAGCATCTATATCGATGGGAAATTTTCTGAGCTTTCGATCTAAACTATTTATAAAAATCATGAAAATGAATTTTTTGAGATAATCGACTTTAAAGTTTTTCCATTAGTTTTTTTTCCTTTACCTAAATACGTTTAGGTAGTTTTACAGCAAGTTAAAAATTTAGCGATTGGTCTAAATAATACTGCTCGGTGTGGTACTGCGAGACCACATGAATAATAGCGGCATTTTTTCAAATTCGAATCACTTTTTTCTCGTAAACCATTGTGTTTACGAAAAAAAGACAAGAGTACTTTTTTGTTTAAAATGACCCAAAAATGCTAAATAAATGTTTTAGGAGCAAAAAATTCAATTTCATCGTCATTGCATAATTATTTATTGGCCACTTTTTTATGACCAATTTTAGCGATATGTACCTATAGAAGTTCGGTTTTAGCAGCCCAAAATAAGTAAGAAAAACATTGGTGCACCCATCAAAGAACACATGACCACGGTAGGCCCACTGGCCCCTAGACTAAACACTTTAACCACACTTGCTTAAGTCATTCAATTGAAAGATCTACAATCTACATTGACCGACCATGATTAGTAGGAGTGTGCGATTACCCGAAAAAACTCGGCTACATCGAGTTTTCTTTTGAGTTCCCCATTAAAAAAAAAGAAATCCATTCGATGATTCATGACCTAGTTAATGTGTAGAAGCAGCCTAGTTGCAGTGTCTCTGTATTATTTCTACTTTCTCTTATGCTTCTCCTACCGACCAACTGAATGTTGTGAGTCTACAGAGGCGTTGCATACGCTTAGCCATCTGCTACTGACATTATAACATTGTCATAAGCTCGAACGGCTTTCGCTACGCCAGATTTACATTTTCTATTCATTACCGAATTCAAAATGACTCTGACTGTACATATGCTACTTGCTTTGATCTCTTCTAGCTTCACCTACGAGTTTTTAATTCTCTATACAGATCGTAGTGCATGTAAAAGATCAGTACAGGTTACGACGTGGCAGCGTGAACATCCAACAGATATAGCAAGCGATTCTCTTAAAATAAGAATAAAATACATGTACATTTCAAGTTACAAGTGATTGTGAATTGTGTTTGAGCGAGTTGAACGATGGACACATTCGAAGACGGATCCACTGCAAGTTTCGATGAAAAAAAATTTTTAGAGACATTGAAGAGTTTAAAAAAACATACCAACTGGGAGCTCGTAGATGAGCGACGCAAATTTATCTATCAAGTTAATCCTTTAATCGAAAAATGTGTCGGACCAACCCCACTACTTCCAAATGTCCAAGACGTTTTCAGTTCCGAAGACGTCGAGCGTCTTGCCATCGATTGCATCAATTTTGAGCATGAGGTAGAATTCAAAGATTTCATTTGCTTCCTGTCTATCACCGGCTATAAGGACGAGCCCAAGCTCGATGGAGACGGCAAGCCATCGTCGCGTCGCACAACACCAGTACATGTTGCGGCTAAAAAGAATGAATTAATCTGTTCCTATCTTTTTGATATATACAACCGATACGACGTCAATTACACCGACGAATCTGGACTGTCGCATTTCCATGTGGCCTGTATGAATTGCTATGTGGACGAAGCCAAGAAATTTCTCGAGCTCGGTCAAGATCCTAATTGCCTCTGGCTAGAAACAGGAGATTCGCCACTACACTCGGTTCTGTTTGGCCACGAGGAGTTGAACCCAGATCCTAATTGCCTCTGGCTAGAAACAGAAGATTCACCACTATACTTGTTTCTGTCGGGCGACGGGGAGTTGGACGAACACGAGCAGTCGTTTGAACTATTGCTGAGAAATGGGGCTGATCTTAATTTAGCCAATAAGGAGGGATTGACTCCTTTGCACATTATTAGCAAGAAATACACTTCCGGGTTTAGAAGAGTTCCTGCAGTGCCGAAGATGTTATTCGAAATCAGTGACGAATTGAATCTGCCGTTGCCGATCGATGCTCGTGACAAGTTCGGTAATACACCATTGCATTTAGCACTGCTCAACAACAGCGTTTATGTTACTCAAATGCTGCTGAGAAGAGGCGCCAATCCGAATCTGGCGAATGACGAGGGATCGACACCTTTGCACCTATTTTACATGAGACGCGATTATTATGACACCGGTTTGATGGAGTTATTTTTCAAAATCTGCGACGAAGTGAATCAGACGGTGCAAGTCGACGTGGTGGACAAGTTGGGCCGGACACCACTACAGTTGGCAGTGGCGAATCTCTGTCCAGATTGCATTGATATTCTCTTCGAGCATGGCGCCGATCTGGGTAAATTCGTTTTTCCAAGTGATTATTTTGCCACCAAAATATCTAAATCGAGGCCATCTTCAATTACGTTCAATTGCAGATTGAGAATAGCGTCCGGGGCGTTGGCCGTTGTCGAACGAATTGAGAATAGAGGATATCAACTGAAGCGAAGTGACGCCTTGACGATCATGAAATGTTTCGCCGAGTACAAATTGTTCGAGAATTCAGCAGATCTTCATCAATTTTGGTACGAACATAATGCCTTCACAGAATTGGCAAAAGATATCAGGATCTGTCCGGGCATATCGCATGTACAAAGCTATCTAGATGACGAGGAGAGGATGTACAAAACTGGAAGAGAAATAAGGGGAAGTCCGAGTCTGCCGCTCAATGAAATTGTGCTACTACAACCCGAAGAGGCGGCAAAATTATTCACATATGAGGACTACTGGAAATTTGCTTGCTCATTCCAATTGTGTCGTCAGTGGGATAAGTATCAGGAACTAAGTGCATTAAATCTGTGCGAGAAACTATCGAGAGGATTTTTCCGGAGCTGGGCTCTGGATCCTTTCATGGAGCTGATACACGACCGACTGCCGGTTCTCTGCTGTGAGATGATCATCGAACAATTATCGAACGAAGATTTATGCAATATTTGCTTAGCAGCTGCAGGAAAGAATTCGTGATGACGTTAAACATTTTTCGTATTCATTGTTTATGTCTTTTTTTATTAAATTTCTGTAGACTTTTTATAATAATTCAAATAAATACATTTGAAAAAATGAGTTCCGATATTCTTAGTGATAAGCACACGATCGTTCGAAGTATAAAATATATATGAGTCAGATTCAGAATTTTAGTTTATAGGTCTGAGATTGCTCGAAAAAACTCGATTAAATCGAGTTTTCTTTTGAGTTCCCCATTTAAAAAAAAGAAAAAACCAATTCGACGATCGATGCGTCGAGTTATGTGTAGAAGCACGTGGCGCTACTTATGCCTAGTCATGTGCCATATTGATATTATTTCCTCGAATTTTCTTATGCACGAGTGATCCCCACTATGCTGGATTTAGACTTTCTAATCCTTCCCGATAACAATTACTATATTATAACTATTTTTATCTCTTGTAGCTTCGCCTACGATTAAATTCGTATTACGGGGGTTCAATTATTACATGTAAAAATTCGTATCGGAGATATTTTTCGTCGGGGAATGGTCTTCAGTTCGTGTTATAGAGGGATGCGGGCATTAGCACAGTGCTATAAAATGTTGTACGATAATCGTGTCATGGGGACACTTTTCGGCCCAGCTATTAGGATTCTCGCTGCGCTTGGGCCCTAAACTACGCTGTGCTAAAAAGTGTTATTTATGGTACTTGTATCGCAACCACTATTTTTCACTTTTACAGCCTACTACTGTAATTGAAAAATGAAAAATAATTAAGCCGCCTGTTAGCCCTTAAGAAAATCTTGACCCGATCGATACGATTTGATTACACTTAATAGCTCCCTTCGTAATCACTGGACTATCTATCTCGCATTTATACAGTTCGCTCTTTAGAGTATATTTGAATGAGTCTTAGGCATTGATTGTAACTAATGACTTAGCAGATCAATGCCAATGTTGATAATGGAATATCGGCCTCCACTGCTTTGAACCTACACGTATAGAAGTTAAAATGTGCTCGATCTCTCTTTGACGAGCGAGGAGCTTCGGTAATACGATAGCTCAAGTGATGCTAAAATTTCCAAAGAGATCGATTAGGTCGTAAAAGCAGCTACGGATACGATAGGAAAGAAAATGAACACAGACACCTCAGAAAATGAGTTTCATTAGAGCACTTAGCCGTGTAATTATTCGGTAACACTAGAGTCTGAAATATGAAAAATAATACTACAGTCTTCGTGCTTGAAAGCTCGCAAATGATAAGCTCTTATACCGATTTGATTTTTTCTTCATTTTTTGTCGATATAAAATTGATACTTTATAGAATTATTGTAATTAAACGAGCTAGCATAAATAACGAAGATTCATTCAAAGACTCATAAGCTCAGAAATATTCTTCTCGTCGTCGCAGCAAATATTTGTTCATGAAAAAATCAAGGGGGGAAGTAAAATCTCAAGAAAATGAATAATAATTGCAATTATTTAGCATTAAAACTGACTGACTGTTGAGCGCAGTCAAAGCGTCTGTGTATTATAGTCGGCGAGAATTGATGAGGCGCTCGCGCGCGAGCTCGCGAAGGAGAAGTTGGAGCGATTCGGTTATTGTGGCACAGACAAATAGGCAGCTCGGCGAGACTTTTCACGCCCCGCGCGGGCGATATTATATAATAGTTGCTCGCTTGCGCGGAAACGCAGCAGCCGACAAAGTAGCGGGCGGCGCGAAGAGAATATAGCGCAATTGCAGCGCTCTGTATCATGGTACATAAACGACTCGTCGAGCTTACGTTCAATACCCTCCACCATCGCGTACCCCCCCGGCCGCGCGCGAGTGAATAAAAGCTCATCGTTGTCGTTCCATTTACGTCCTCTCTCTCTCTTCATTGCTTCGACTCGTTATATAAAGCACAGGTGAGCTCTCGCTCGCTCGCCGATTCGTACCCGCTCTAGTGTGGCAAACGCCCTTACACGACCTGTCATTATCGTGCGCGCAAGCAGCTCCGCAGCCATATAGCCAGTCGGTTCCTCGTGCTTGCGAGGCTATTTTTGTTTATCTCGGCGTTGATGCGCGCGCGATAAACTCTAGCTGCGAAGCTGCTTTCGCGCAGTGATTCTCTCGCCAACCAGAGTCTACAACGTATACCCTGTGCAGATTTTCGTCGCTCTTATAATAATATGTATAATGCAATCGGACGATTGCTGACTTACTTTGACGGAGAAGCTACTGGAGCCGACGCAGATGAGACGATTGTAGTCGGGGCTGGATACGCTCCGGCAGGACCGGTTGCCGTTGAGTAATTTGTTGAAGCGCAGTTTCACGACCTCATCGTGCTCGGCTTCGAAGCGGTACACGCAGCTGTAAACAACACGAGAAAAACAACTCAATTTACATTCAAACTCGAGAGAAAGAGCTGGAAGAGAGACGAAATCCTCGAAGTGCTCCTCCTATCCTCGAGAATTGCAAAATTTAATAAAACTACAGAAACTTGGTTAAGTTACACGTTGACTCGTCTTATTACTTGGGATTGATAGGAAATTAATTAGTGCCTCGAGTTGCTGCCAGCGCGAGTTCGTTAATCAGCTACGAGCTATCATTGTGCGCCTCTCCGTATACACGTACATAAGAGAAGATCGCGCGCGCGACGATTCGCAGCACTTCGAGGAATTCAGCGTCTTCTCATTTCTACGCATTTCTGTTATGCGCCGATCGATATGTAACAGGTTCGACGCGAATACTTTCTCTGTTTGTTTTCTCTCGCGGGCCCGAAATTCCGCTGACTATTGACATTTTGTCACAGCAGGAGGGAGGGCATAAAAAATTCCACCCTCTTACGTCCATCGAAAAAAAAAGAAGGAGAGAAAGGAAAAAAATGCGCGAGGAAATTCGAGTTTTATGCAATGTCCGCGCGGAAGCATTTCAAGTGAAAATTCGCACTGCAGGTATATTTATATATATAATTTTAAATACCTCGAAAGTTCTAAGCCGCGCTTGTCGTAAAGACTAACTTTATGAGCTCCATAAAAGGTGCTTGATAGCGAGCGAGTCGAGCTACTATATATTTTACGTAGTATTCCGAAGCTCAGCCGGTAGCCGGTTACGAGCTGTAACCGCTGCAGCAGCAGCTCTTGCAGCTACACACGTACGGGATGTGTGCTGTGCGCATTCGATTGTGTGCATCGCATCTGTATATACACCGATACACCGAGAAAAGCATAACTAGCGACGACGCGGCTTGTTTTCGCTTTTCATACGCCGCTGCACGATGCCGCGCATCGATTTTTTTGCTCTATTAAATATTTGTCCCCGATAAATAATATTCTCGACTCGCGCTGTGAATACCGGCGCATACGTACTTTTACGAGGATATTTTTTTTTATTGAATCCAGCTGCAGCGCAGTGCCAGAGTCCGTGCGGTTGTAAAAATTTCACGTGCGATACTTCACTGCAGCGTCTTATCTGATTAAGCTTTTAATGTTTAAAGCTGACTCGCGGTGTTTTTTAACTCTTTCCGCTCGAGGCTTTGAGTGAATATAATCGTATGAAAGGGTCGACGCTCGCTGCGCATCGAGCAATCAAATACGTATCTATCTCGTGCTGCAGCTGCGCGGCGAGCACGAAGAGGGAGAGAGAAAAAAATTACATTATAATACTCACGTTAAATTTTTCGCTCCGCCTCGTCCATAAAGGAATATGTCCCTTGGCCCGCGGAATCTCCGGTCTGGGTAGGTGTCGCGGTTCCGGCTGTAGAAGATCCGGGAGCAGGGCGTATCGCCGTACGGATCGCCGTCCTGGTAGAGGTCGACGAATTCGAAGAGGGCTCGGAAGTCGAGTGGCCTGCAAACATCGAAATTCGTTGAACATTTCGAATATTTTTTCGTCGCGCGCGTTACATCGCCCGCTCGTAGTCGAGTGCGCAAATATTTTCCTCTTTTTAATTTGAAACGCACTTTTGTGAGACAAAAAAAAAAAAATTCATTCGGCCAAGTGCCATTTTGTAGTTTAACGTATTTTGCGCTTACACTCTTGACTATATTTTTTTTCTCGCTCTTCTCGGTGCACTTCATTGTACCGCGTGCTGTATTTCAAAGCTAACTCGAAAGATAATATATACCTATAACGAGAGAAAGAGAGAAAACGCGACAAAGACTACTTGGAGAAATTTCAAAATGAAAGTCGATCGTAGACTCTTCGACGTCGAGCTTACTGCTGCAACACAGAGAGAGACAGGGTAAAATTTCAGCTCGACGCACGAGCAAGTTCGTTGATGTAGCGCGGCGCATCGAGAGAGTTGCAGCATCAGCCAATGACAACTATGCGTAACTTCTCGCCTATTGCCGCGCCGGAGATGATATTCTCTTAACGCCTACTTGGCTGCTGCTGCCGCTTCTTTGAAGTAACTTTCAAACGTGACGCGCTCGACCGTAATTCGGACTGAATTTCATTGAACCGTGGGCATATTGCGTGAAACAGTCGTCAGAGCGAAAGAGTATAATATATAGGTACGTCGCACCGATGCATTTTATTTTACACAAAGTGCAGGGAGACGTACCGTGAGTTACAAGCATTCGGCCGACAAATATTCTTTTCGTTCCAACGGTTTTGAATACTCGGCGCGCAATTTAGGCGCAAGTCGACGCGACCAAAGAGAATTACGAATCAAAGGGTAACGGTTGGAAGAAGATTATTAGATTATTCGGTGAAAATGAAAAAAGTTTCCTCCTCGACGATGTTGCGCTGCGAAAAATTGCTCGGAAAAAAGGAGGTCGAACGCTCGGGCCGGCGCTGCATGCGCGCAGCAGCTCTTCATCCGACTCCGTTTTTCATCCTTACGATTTTTTCCGGCGTCGTTCGGGAGCAATTCGAAACAAATGACGATGAAGATTACATCGGAGACGAGGGGATGAAGACAAAGGGAAGAATCGAAGAAGCAATACTGCGCGAGAGAGAGTCTCTATAGCTCTTCGATGTGGCTATCAAATATCCAATATGTAACTCGCTGCCACCGAGCTAGTTGAGCTTCAAAGTTTTTCTCTCTCTCTCTCTCGCTCGCTCGCGAATGTATATATATGTACGTCGACGTATGCGAATGTGCGAGCATGTGCTCCCGACGTCGAAGCGAATAAAGTAAAGTAGAAATTCTCCGTATAGAATCGGCTCGCGCTCCCAGCTATATACGTTTATACCGGATATGTACAGCAGCGCGGCAGTAGTAGACGACGTTGCGACGACTGGATGCACATTTCGGTGGCCGAATCCGCAAGGGACAGAAACGACGACGACGGCTACATATCCATTACGCGACGTACCTATAACGTATCCGTTTACTCGTAGAATTGCACAAGAAGAGAGAGAAGAGAAGAGAAGAGAAGAGACGAGAATAGAGAAAAGGAAAGGAAACTCGCCTGAGGGCAGTAGTCTCGGAGACGAAAAGCTCGATGGTCAGGCTGCCGCTGGAGGAAATGAAACTCTCGGCCGGGCTGCACGGTCGGCTGGTGTTCTGCAGAATCACGTGGTCGCAGCTGCGCGGCACTTTGTCCTTGCAGTAGCGGGCCATGAGGGTGGCGTTGCTCGACAGCCTGCCGCTGGCCCCGTGGCCGGTGGCGGCTCTGCTGCCGTTGATTTTGGCTACGGCACTGCCGCTGCCACTGATACTGCTACCGCTGCTGCTGCCCAGAAGCTTCTCGTTTTGTTTCTCGCTGTGGATTTGAAATTCGAATCTTATATCAGTGAGGTTTTACGAAAAAATAACGTAGAAATAAAATATACGTCCTGTACCAAAAGCATCGTTTACAGGGACCTTATTTTTTCATTTCTAACATTTTTTTTATCAAGTCAATACATTGATGGGTACTCGTTACTGGAATAGTTCATTTTTCTTTGCTCGTACGCAGATATTACAAATTCCATTTATATATTTTGATAAAAGCCTCTCGCTTATTGTATATTTTTCATGAAGCTACAAGCTCTTCGATGAATCGTCACAACAAAAGAATTTGTTGTAGGAATTTAAGGAATTCATTTTGCAAAATAGCTTTTATTAATTAATATAATTATTACGAGCGATTGAAAAAGAATTCCAATTTTCAGTCCAAAATTAACAATTTTTATCGAATTAAAAATTAATTTAATTATTCGATCATTTCCGTTAAAACGACGTACGGTTTAAAAATCTAGGTATTTAGGAAATTACCGCGATCTCTTCGATGTTTGAAATATTATAGAAAATAATTTCACGAATTAATTTAGCTGGCATGCGTGCGGGCTCACCAAGCGATATCGTTGCACTCGCCCGTCGACAAAGGCATCATATCGCCGTCCCATATTTTCAGACTGGTCGAGCACTCGTCGTCGGCCGCCGGGGCGAGGCTGTTGGCCACGTGGAACTTGAGCACCGACAGCCAGACTCGAAATTGCGGAGTCGGCTGCAGGGGCTGCTGGCGACCCCACTTGATGTCGGCCTTGGTGGGGAACTTCGGTATGGGACGGGGCGACGTGGGCGACGGAAAGCTCGTGTCCTCGCCGCGAAGATGGTACAGGCAGGTCGTGTTGCGCGGCAGCGAGTGACGGGGCGAGGTCAGCACGCCACCCTCGCTTCCTCGTAGCCAAAATTCGCAGCGCTTGTTTCGCGTGAACGACGACGAGTTGGCGTCCACGAATTTCACCTGAGTTTTTTTAATCCACATTCAATAATCGATATTTTTTATTTATATCCGGTCTGTACGAGTAGTATGAAGTGGTTCCGGGTTTTCTTTTTAACTCTTGCAAGCTTGCAAATGCGTTCAAAGTCAAGATCAACGTTACAATTTATATTCATTTAGTAAAGTACTTTTTCCCAAGTTCAAAAGTCGGCACAAGACACTCGGCTGCAGATCAATTAAAATAAAATAAATAGTGAAATAAATAATTTAATTTTCAAGGAAAAAATGTCAACTCGGCGCTAGAAAAAACATAAACGTGTACATTAATATTAATTTGCCGTTCGTATACCAGTCGCATGTTGCAGGCTCGAAGAAAGGCAGGTAATAATTATATTACGACACGATTAAGGGCTGCATACTTTATAGCCAAGGAGCAGCGACGCGCGTAAGAGTATTACGCTCGTAGCTGCCGAGGCGGAGGTATTTCCAGCCTTTGTCGGAGCAACGCCTGTATATACGTATATATATACGAGGCTGTGTCGAGGTGGGCGTGTGCGTGTGTGTCTGTGTATGTAAGAGTCACCTGCACGTCCAGCTGAAAGCCATGAAGCGAGTGCGGCGATGATGGATGAAGAAAAGTCCCGTAAGGCGAGGTCGTGAACACGACCAGCAGGTCCTTGCCGCTGCTGACTACCTCGGGCAAGGGCTCGCCTCCCCCGCAAAACTTCAGTATTACCGGCTCCATCGTATTATAACCGTCGTAGATCGTTACGTGATCCTGCCGGAGCATAATTTTGCAATTAAGAGAAAAGCCCTTTTTACTCGCGCGAGCTCGCCTATAACTATAACGCATATAACTATATAACGCCGCGCAACTCGAGGCTACTCGGCTACTCGGCCAGCAACTTTAACATTATATACATATAGAGCCGCAAGCGGACCGAGCTAATTTGCGGCAGCTCGAGCCTTTCGAGCGACTGCACAAAAATACCTCATAATGTTTCGCCAGAACAATTCCTATATATCACTCCGAGGCTCTCCGACGCCTCCTTCTTGCTCGTTGCCCCGCGCCTTAAGACGTGTACTCGCATACATATACAAAGCCGCGGGTATTTTTCCCCGGGAAAACGAGCATAAGTCTCCGACTTACTCGTAAGTATGTAACGAGCGAGTGACAAATTCAATATAAGCGTACCTTGACTATGTCGCAATCATCCCAGAGGCGGAGCTCCCTCGGCGGTGGCTCGGCCTGCGAAGGCGGCTTCGATCGCACAGCAATCAACTGACCTCGAGTCTGTCTCACCGATATTAAGGGATGCTTTCCTTCAGGAACTTCGTGCTGTCGTATCTGTTAATGGAAAATCATATCTTAAACTTACGGTACGCTGAATCCCCGAGCCGAGGCGAGACGAGACGAGCGCAGCTTTTGCCAGCACAGCGCGCCTCAATCAAATCGACGTTTTCGATCGAAAAATATTATATAATGCCTCGGCAATCGTAATGGCTTCGAGGCGCGCGCACCATCTGTTGGCTTTGTAAATTTGCACTCGTCCTAATTAAGGACGTTCGCTCGGATAAATACAGAGACGTTTTAAGCCGAATTTCCTGTATGCATTATACGCCCGATTTTTAAAAACTTTTTACTCCAGTCGAGCTTAACTTTATTTCACAAAACAAACACTTGCGAGGCTTGCTTTTAAAGGCGGGATGTGAGTACTTTTCAATAATCGAACATTGATGAACAAAAGCGCGAAACTTATTGAAACAAGAGGAGAAAAGTAACGAGCAAAAAAAATCTCACAATGTTAAGAAATTGAAGTAATTAAATATCAATTGGTAAGACGCAAAGTTTAGTGATATTTTTCCTCTTCATTTTTCTTTCAAACTCGAAAACTCAATAGTTTCTTTAAAGTAATTATGGTGTATAAACTATCTATGCAAGAGTCGACGCGAAGTTTAAATTGATTATTCTATTACCAAAAAAGTATCGGACCGAGACTTTGTTCTCGAAAAATATGGCCTCGAAGAGAGCAGCCTTACCGCATAATAACAGGTGAGGTTGCGCGGATAGAGGCCCGGAAAGTTCGGCGACTGCAGCCTGCACCTCTTCTTATCGCAATCGCTGAACGTCTTCGAGCAGTAGGTGCCGGATATGAGCTCGCCTAGATACTGCTCGCTGCTGGGCTTGCGCGTGGGCTTGGACGTCGTCGTCGGCGGCGTCGTGGAAATCGAGCTCGTCGGAGGCACAGAAGTCGTCGGGGCTCTGGTCGATTTGCTCGTTAACGGCGATTTGGTTGTTTTCGAAGTTAGCCCCGGCGATACAGACGAGGATGCATTGTTCGTTGGAACGTGCGCGGTCGAGTTTGTTGTTGGACTGGGCGTCGTTGTGGTCGGCGGTTTGGTCGGTGGGTTGGTCACGACTAAAAATATCAATGTTCATTTAGTACAGGACATTAATTCCAAGAGCAAGTGAGACTAAAACAAAAGTCACATTCAATTCAAAGTGGCTATAAGGTAAAATCTATTTACAAAATAATATATTCGTCGAACGAAGTATAGAATTTCATCGTGGCTTCTTGCCGAGAAAAAAAAGTATAACGAGTTGGTGGTAAAGGTATCGACTTGAAAAGTTTAGCGGCGAGTAAATAAATAGGCTAGGTGTTACTGACCCACGAAGGGATTATTGTATCGCACGACGGCGTCGGAGCGTCGAATCGTCTTGTAGGCCATGCGAAAGTCAAAATTGAATCCGGTCTGATCCTTGCTGAGCCTGAAGAGCCTCAGAGTTATGGAGACGCTGGCGGTCTCGCTGTAGTAGATGGCGGGTCCCCAGGTCGTTCCACACCAGTGGCCTCCCACGTCCGGCCGATTCATCTCCGATATCTGCAGCGAGCCGTCCGGGCATCCCGCCGACGTGAACGACACGAACTTGCCGAGTGTGAAGCTGTCGAACGTCAGCTGCAACGATCAACCAAAATCATCATCGCGTCTGTCGTGTGACTGATAATGCGCGCATCCACGAGTACATAGACGTCTGCACGGCAAGATAATCCTTCGAGCTTTGCTCGGCTATTATGACCGAATGACAATGTTCGTTCGAGTACTTTTTAGCCGAAATAAGCACGGAGAATAATTCTAGCCTTTTCAAGGCTACGTAAATTCATTTACGGATGCAAATTTGATGAGTGAATTTCGTAAGAGGTACGAACGAGACGAACAAGAGAGCTATCCTGCGCTAAACTACACCCACGCGTGAAAAGTACGATAAGTCAGGCGTTGTAGCAACAGCAGGACACGCGCAGCTGCTGGATTCTCGAGGAAACGAGGCCATCACCCCCTTTAATTCTCGACGATACGAGTCACGAATGCAGAGGGACGGAAAAATGTTTTTTTCTCTCGCGCTTAAGATGCATTGTCTGTGCTTACACTAAAATATGTACGCTAAAATAGCGATTGAAATTTTCGTCATTTTAGCTTGCAAAGGCATTGAATAACATTAAATAACCGCTGACAATGCATTGACAAAGAGTTTCTTTCAGAAAACATGATTATTTCTATTTTTATGTATAATTAAGTGTGAAATAAAACATTGTGCTATTTCAAAATGATACATTTTTATACAAAATTTTGTTAGTTTTTCATATATTTTTCATTTGTACGACAAAAAATAACTATAAATTGTAAAAGGATATTATAAAGACCGTGAACTTTTCGGCGATAAAAGTCCGTATCAAACTTGATTAGATTTGACTTTTACGTTTCTCTTTGTTGTAGTAAGCTTCCATTATATTCACATCCTTTTGTAGTATTTTTGATACGGTAATTTTAACAATTCCTATAGTAGAAATTCTCTAGTCACTAAAATCGAGCTAGAATTTTTTCAAATCTATCATTAATTTACAATTAACCATGTAGAGTTTCAACACAAACGAGTTATTTCCATTGACAGATTATCGATGCGACTGTCACAGATATTTTACTACCACCTGCAGCTCCAATAACTAATTGCACTTTATTTCTAATATAACAAGTTTAATACTATTACGTATTGTATCGGTGTGAATTCAGAGACATACTTCTCTTTTGTATAAATGTATCTTCACATTTCATGTACGTATCAGAATAGTTTGCAACTGAATTGTTGACATTTTCACTACAATTTTGAAGTAGTCAGAGCCTCTGTGTATCGCATTACATTAATGCGTACGGCTAGTCGACGGTAGAGGGGAATGTATCGCCAAAGAGTCATCATGAACAGGGAATCATCCGAGTAGCGCGTTCAATCGTCAACGAAAAGCTAAATTCCTGCAGTAAGCAAGTGTTTAAACATAATATCCGTTGCAGATTATAGCTCTCAAAAAGTTTCCATATTTTTACGGACGAAATTTTAAGTGAGCCGACTCGAGCGAGACGAGGCGTACCTCCTTTGGCGATTTGCAGCAACTGAAAGCTCTTTTGGCCTCGGGTATAATGACGACGCAGAGAGGGGCGAAGTTGAGCTGCCAAAGTAGAAGAAAAAAAGGCACACACGACGCGGAAAACAGAAGCGCAAAAATTCGACGCGCGTGGCAGGAAGAAGAGCATTTCTCCGATATCGTCGCGTGCGCGGCACTCAGCGAGAGAGGAGCGTGCTCAGGGGGCGGCTTGCCTGCCAGCGCAAAAATCACGAGTTAGGCACAACCGTATCGATATATAACGTACGGCCTATCGGCGCGACGAAGGTGAGGCGCTTTTCCGTACGCGCGGCCTCCTTCTCTTTCCACGTTCATATTCCGCTCCGCGTTACCGAATCGTTGCAGTGTAACGCGATGTAATATACGTACGCAAAACTTTTCAGCGATTTTACATCTGCATATCGAATGTCCGCTTCCTTTAACTGCATTAGCGTCGGCCATAGCTGTATCGATCGGTAATAAAATCCGTTTTTTAATTTCCGAATAAAAAAGAAAAATACCAAGATTAAAATACCAGCTCTTTGATACTTTATCTGTTTCCGGATGCAATAAATGAAGTTGGAAAATTTTTTGTTCGAATGTGAAACATTCATTCGGTTGGATCGAGGCTTTTTGTAAAATGAGCATCGCGTGCATTCGTAGGCGTGACCTCAAACTCGATGAAAGAGCGCATATATACACATATAAAAAGAAACTGCCAAGCCAGAATTTTTCTTTCATTCTTAGGATTGTATTTTCGAGCAATATGCGTATTCGCGTTTATTGTTCTTCACGCACAAACACACACAAATTCTTTTGTTGGAAGTTATTAAAAAATTCCAGCGTTAACTCGAAAAGGGGATTCAAGCACCAGTCTTCGGCTAAAGTACGCGTGTCCGCGCACCTGAAAATAGTCCAGCTATCCGTGTGTATAACTCTTTTTAACGGGAGCAAAGGTGCAAAAGGTGGAAAATACCAGCGACGGAGGATTAAAATTGACAACGCCAAAGCACGTCGAGCGAGCGAGCGAGCGCGCGCGCAGCCGTTTGAAATGTAAGCATTTTTTGCCCGCGACTTTTATCATCTCCCTTTGTTCGTTACAAAATGAAAATATGTTTTCTGACGAATTCTTTATGCACATGCTCGTATTACTTTCTGAATTCGAGCGAATTGCCGTGTAATATTTATATTTACCTGGACTATGTCACCGAGGATGCCGCCAGGGGCACTGAATGTGAGCTTGCAAACGTAAGGCACCTTATCTTCTTTCGGCCGGTGAAGCTCGAGATCATACGTTTTACCAACATCGCCGTAGTATGTTTTATTGCATGCTGAAACACAAGCAAATTTTTTTGTTTACTCAACATGAAAATTTCAATTTAGATGCATACACATAAGACGATAATAGTTAATTTACGTTCAATGCCGTCAGCTATAAAGTCTGACTTGATTTTTTACTCTGATCCTAGCTGGAGCTCAGAACTCGGTTTATCTGCTTGTTTTTCTTACTTTGAGCTCGATGTTTCTTTATTCCTCGAAACTCTTTACTCTTGATTTACGCGAGCGAGTGTTTTTGCGCGTCGAACGAATGAGAAGCTCTCGCGCGCCAGAAGTCGTAATTCTTTCAACAATACTGCTGCCCACGATCCCAGCCGGGTAATTTTCTATACAGCTTTACTTACGAGCTGCTTTGAGTTATGATCGCAGCCGCGTAACTTGATAATTGAATAAAAAATTCACGTCAAGCAGTTTGCGGCTGAACACTTTTCCCTTACAAATGAGCGACTACGCGAGTCTCATTCTGTCGCAACGAAATTAATGCATTTGACGCTTGAACATCTTTAAGTAAACTCGAAGGTTTGATTGACAGTGCCAAGTAAGCAAACGCCGTCAAAGTCGTTCGACAGAACCAAATGTATGTCATTAGTTAATTGAATTGGTTTACAGTAAGTCATACCCAAAGTAACGATCAAATTAATCAAAAATAATTTTTAATCAACAAAAATTTATGAAAAGTCATAGGCTGAAGCGCATAAGTATGCTTAAAATTTTTCAGTAATTTTATTTCTAACATTATTTTTACACGTTTGAGGCGAATCAAAAAAAGTGTCACTATATAAACATCCTGATCCACAAAATTTTTTACATTTTTTATTTTTACATTGATTTTAGATCGAAACATGATTTTTAATCAAACCAAAGATACGTATAGCATGATTCAAGAAATTCGACTGTTTTCTTTGTCATAAACTACATAGGTCAATAAACTTATGACGACGCTTTATCTTTTACGCAAAATCTCACCGAGTTGTATCATTTTCGAACGTGTCATGTTGCAAATTATTTCTGATGGTATTTCGATAGTCTTGTTCCATATTTATACGTCATCAAATTTTGAACGCCATTTACGTGCATTCCCCAACATTTTCAAAAAATTACATACAATAACGTCCCTACAGATTAATTTAAATTTGCTACATTTCACTCATATTTATCTCTGATTAATAATTGTTTATTAACTGATTGAAAAGATTTTATGAGCAAATATATTGAATGTCATAAAACATTACCTATCACTATCTAAAGAAAAATATATTTGAATCGTTTAATCAGATTTTATTTAATTTTTGAAATTATATTCATCGATGTATAATTACTAAGAGGAAATGAAGTATGGGTAAAAATATTATTTAGATATCATAAGCTGTCAAATCAAGCTAACTTGATTGGTTATTTCAGGTTTTACCGAAAAATTTTCGGCCAAAAGTCCACGTACATTTATATTTTATATTTTAATCCATTTTGAGTAGCCTGAGTAATCCTATACTTTCCCCATAGGAGAAAAGCATACTAGATTAAATAAATTTGAGCTCAAATGTTTTTTCGAAATAGAAACAGATTACTGTATATTATATGTATGCCCGTGCTTTGTCGAAAATGAAACAAACGTAAGTCCTGCATCCATTTTCTTACTTTAGGTGATTTTTTTGAAATGTTTGGATTAAATAAGTAACTCTATTTTTGTTACTAAATCAGAATAATTTCATCAATAATATAGAGTTTTTTGGACTCACGTAATAAAACTGACGTTGAAGCAATAAACTAGTGTAAGTAAATAAAAAAATGGATTCGTGGAAAAATTGTATTTATATTTGTCTATAATTAATAATTTTAAATGATGCATAGGCCCAGAAATGCTGGAATATATGAGGCCATGGGCCAAAACTGCAAATCAAATCGGTAATGAAGTGGTTGCTTACGCCCATGATGGGCTCATGAATTCTTGCTGGACTGGTGAAGACTGTGGTGTAGGAAATTTCATAACTGACAGCTTTGTCGAAGCTGTATGTCATGGCAAACATCGCTTATTCATTTTTGAAAGATGTTTCGATGAGCGCTAAATTTACCATTATGCATTTGCAGTTTCGTAATTTGACCGATAATCCAAAACATTGGACGCATGCATCTATAGCTTGGATAAAGTCGGGATGTATCGGAAGTAAATTACCAGCTGGAAATGTCACTTATGCCGATGCAATCGCAGTTCTACCATTTGAGAACGTAATCAACATTATTCAAATGACCGGTGATGAGTTACGCCAAGTAAGATTTTTTTCGTAACTAAAAAAAATTATAAACAACATTGATTTATATACAATTTTCAAAGATTCTACAATCTGATGTGAAAATGCGATTTTGGAAAAATAAATGGGTACAACATGTCACCAATCACTTTTCGGGTTTGGAATTAGTTTATGATACGACTAAACCTAACGATTTTCAGCTTATTAGCGTATCTGTTAGGTAAGTTCACATACTTTCGTTTGACGATAAAATGAAAACATTCATGATTTCCATCTTCAGGTGTCAAAAATGTGAAAAGCCGATTTATGAACCACTTGTTAAAGAACAAGTATATCGAGTTGCTACATTTGACTATCTCATTAATATATTTGGAGATAAATTTAAAAATCCGGCTATACAAAAATTTAATTTGAAAAACATTGATTGTTTTACTAGATATTTGAAATTGGTAACACCGTATTCTTATGAAAATGACCAGCGTCGAATCATATTATGAAATCGGTCGGCCAATATTTAAGTCATCAGAAAATATTCCGAAAAAATTTTCAAAAAATATAAGACAAAGAATTAATTTGTAATGGAAAAGCAACGGTATGTGCGCAAACGCATTGAGGTTGAACAAACTTCTAGCGTACATAACGAATTCCAATTAGAAGCAGCGCGTACAAGCGCCGAGGCATTAGTCGCAGTTGTACTGTAGTTGCGAGCTGGAGGTCGTAAGCAAGCGTGGGTCGTAAGCACGAAAATTTTAATCGATTGCCCAAGCGTGTCCGTTTGCTCTGAAAATGATGACGCTCTGACAATGAATATCCGATGAGTTTTTGATGACCGTTCACGAGGATTAATAGTTTTTTTAACAATCAATTCTTTGTTTCGGTGCTACTGTGCGACATAGAATTGATACAATATCGATTGCGTATTTATATTTTGACAAACTAAAGTACTTCATTCATTTTACTATCAACAATCAAATGGCGCAGAGTACGGGTGATATTAAATTGACTCGAACACATTGTTTTCTAATGTGCATTACTCTATTAAATCTACTATCATCATAATACAAAATTATGAAAATGCATCGAATGATCAATTTTTTTATTTTTGCTCATACAATCACTTTGAAAGTCAAAAAAATATTTAGTGACTCATTATGCCTCCTTAACTTGGGTACTTAATTTTAGATTTTCGTATATAAAAGTGAACTAGGAAGAAGGGTTTAAATTTCAAATGCGTCCGGGTGAAACTTACGTGTGCACTGCTGTTGCTCGTCACTTTTGTCACCGCAGTCGTCGACGAGATTGCAGACCTTATTAAGATAGATGCAGCGGCCATTGTTGCAACGGAATTCGCTTTGACGGCAAGACAGTACGAGTGTCGCAGTCGTTACAAGTAAAACACTACTGTAGACGAGCCAGCATGGACCTGTAATTAAAATTGAAATCAAATAAATTAAGAGTCTCGGAGCATACGATTTTATCGATTACTTTACAACATCAATGAGATCGAAAAGAAATAAGACTTTGTTTAACATTGAATAGAGTGAAATGAAAAAATGTTCTTTTTATTATTCAAGAAATTGGGAATCCATCAATTCGTTGTTAGTTGCAACCTGTTAATTTGATGATTAATTTAAAAATAAGTTTTCAGTTCGAAAACATCCTATGTTACATTACATTGACATCTTTGCCAAAATCATGGGCTAATTTCCATATTGACATTAGCGTTTATTAAAACTTCAAGAGAACAAAACTTTTTAACTTGACATTTACCAAGAAAAAATTATCTACTACTGAGGTATTCTTGTGTCCGCAAATTTTGTTAAGATAATATACGGGGTTTGCAATGTATTTATATAATTTGTGCTTATAATGCAGTTAACACGACTGGCTTATCTATTCTGCAACGTCAAGTGACTGCTGCACGTACATCTCGTTCTCAAACGCAGCTAGTATGTTCTTGCTTCTATCTACAACGTTGTCATCGCGTGTTTGCTGAACCCAAAAGTACAAACGAAGCGACTTGATGCAAAGCGTGAAAACAGCTCGGCAACTCAATGAAAACTCAGCCTAGTCTTTGAGTTTGACTTGACAATTAAACAGCATACAAATTCATTCTGAAACTGTAGATAACAATAAAACTAAAAGAGCAAAGTAATTTTTTAACGGCGAATTTAACTCGGAAGAATTTAATTTCAATAGTGGATTCATTGCCAGCTTCTAGAAATTCACAAGTTCAAATGTTATTCAAAAAGATCAACCGATGCATACCTTTATACGATATAGAAATCTTTTACGAGGCCGTTCTAAATAAAAAAGCCAAACAACAAGACCGATACGTATCCTCACATGTACTACATTCCGTGTACACGCTGTGCATAGAGGTCGAAGCTAGTTACAGAAAGCAGAGTTTGATGGCTAGTGGAGCAACGGCAATTTGCTCGATTGGCTTTGAACCAAAACATACAGGTAGCAAGACAAAATCAGCAGTCTGCCGAGTGAGGCGTTCATTAGCCGCACTCCAGCACTCTTTTAATTACGTGTGTGTATACATTGCTTACATCAACAATACCTGCAACGGCACGAGTTCAAAATTACTATGCGTTGTGTTGATTTAATCCGTTATCGATTGACCGTAAAGGCCCTTGAAAGCTATTTTTCTTATTCTGCAACTCATTTGCCATTGAATTTGCAATCTTGACTCCGTTTGACGATCAAATTTATTTTGATTTCGATATTAACAGATCAAACTATTTTTTTTCCCAATTCGACATTGTGCCATTTTGAAAAGTCAAAAAGATTTTTCAATGTGTTTTCTGGCAAAACAAAAAATAAATAAAGGAGAAGCATATATTAGAAAACTCTAATGAAAGGTGAAGTTGTGTGCTAGACATTTTTTTAGAGTAAAAGTGAAAAGACGACGGAGCTAAAAAGAAAGTTTTCTTTTTCATCGAATTTTTTTTGCTTGCCGGCGCGTTCAATCGTCAAGAGGATTCTCTTGCGGATGAGTTGAGCGAACGCTAGAGACTGACTTTATTTCTTCAAGATTTTTTTCGAATTACAACAAATATTATCTTTTTTATCGTGTTTAATATATATTTGTTGATATCAGATAAATCATCAAACGAATTTACACTGTTGAAAAACCTTAAATTGAATTATAATTCAATGGGAAATCAAACATAAAAATTGATGAAAGTCCAATCATAATTAATACCAGCCTTTTCCGCCAGATGGCGATTACTTTCATTAGTAAATGTGCAAGTGGTAAAGTCAAAGTAATTGTATAAGTAAAAACAAGGTTTTAAAAAAATGCCATTTTTATAGGAGAGATTGGAGTTGTATTTCTAAACAGGTAAAAAACTGTTTGAAAATCTTTAAAAAAATTCTTCTCATTCGATTGTTTTGGAATGGTTAAAAAATAGAGTACCCGAGTATTCTCGATCGCACGTTATATAAATCACACGTGAGTTTGAACACTAAAAAAGAGATGTTGGAGTAGTTTTAAAAGAGAAAGAAACGCAAGAAGAATCGGGCATTAGAAAAGGGAATAAAAGGGGTAAAAACAGAGTGTATATCCGCGAGACGTGAGAGCGCGCGCTAGAGTAATAAGAAGGAAGATAAGTACTGAAGCGAAGTTAAGCGGTAAAACATGTTTGGCCGTTGGTCAAAGTTGCAAATCATCCTGATAAATGGAGATCCCCGCGCACTCGTGCTAATAATCCACTGCTCTGCATGGCTGTCTTACAGGCCGGACTATTCAGGTGCAGCTCATGGGGAAGCGCATGCTTAGATCGATTCCTCGCAGGATTTGTTGGTTCTCCGGGACGTTGCAGGAAACGAGATCTCATGCTCGATTACGTACGGTCTATCGTTCATACCAATTTATTTAGACGTCTCGCACAAAGACCGGGCCGTAAACCATATGCATTGTACGAGTTTATCGAGAATCGAGCTGCTCTCGGTCTGTTTTGCGAGAAGCTTCCTCGTTTCTCATGGAAAATAAATTCAACGTCGGGCGACGCGGGGCGCGTATTGTCAAGCTCGCGCGCGCCCGCACAAAGCGCCGTATATACATATAAAATACCACGTCTCGCGGCTACAAAGCTTTTCGAAAAAGTAGGTGCGCGCGCCAAAGTCGTCTCGTCCAGACCGGCTTGATGAGTGTAAACGCAATACCCGAGTGTACATTTACACTCGTTGGCACTCGAGCGCCGGCGAAGCACGCAAAGAGCCTAGCGCGTATTACATCCCCCTAGCCGAGCTAGCGCACTAGTAGCAGCAGCACCAGAAACTCGTGCTGCTTAGCTGCGAGTCGCGTTTTTCCAAGTTTTCTGATACCACTACTTTGCGCGCCATCGCGAGCAGTACCCTTAGATCTTATTTCGGCCTCGCTCGAGATGTTCTCTGCTGCGCTGCTTACGACGACGAAGACGGGTCCATTTCCGAGCAAGAACTTTCAGACGTACTTCTTTATATGACTTCATCTTTTCAGCTGCTTCATATTTGGAAGCTTTATACAGAACTTATCCGCAGAATTACTTTTCTTCTACGAGTATTTTCGCTCATCTTTCTTGCGCAATTTCTAATGGAACACAAAAGATTGTATAAAAATAATTTTTTTGACATCGACTCCCTTCACTTGCTAAATATTGCAATATTGTTTTTTATATGCTTGTACAAGCTTTCAAAAGTGCGTGAATTTTTCAAAATGAAACTCGAGCAACTGACTCTATTTCAAAGAAAAAAATTCAAGCCAAAAGTTTGTGCATAAAAATTTTGTTCTGATCTCTAGGGAGGAAAATTGTCTGTAGACCCGAGCTCAAAATTGTAAAAGCAACGAGACGATGATTTCTTGGAATGGTAAAGTCGATATCAGAGCAGCAGTAGTACAGTATGTGGCGTCGCGTGGCTGACTTAATTACAGCGAGTACGGCATGCAGCTCCGATCGGCTACCGATAGGCAAGCCAAGATAATCGCGCGGCGCGCGTAGCTTCGGTTCGCGTTCAAGCGTCCCGAAATCCGATCCGATAACATCGCGTATGGTCACGGAGAGGGTTTCCGTTCGCAATGCTCCTCCTGAGCACTATATACGTATACGAGGGATCGCGACGGATAAGGCGGCTCGCCGATAAATCGTACAATGCTCGTCTGCTTGAAGCTGCTACTGCCCCGAGGAATGATGGATTTCGCCCTGGCGGCTGTAACACCGCAATAAGATGATTACGTGTGTCTGACGGTGCTCTCGCATCGACGCCTTGCTAAGCGAATCGCTTTTTCCTTCGATTCCACTCGCGAGAGCATAAAGGACGCTAATCTAATCATCGAAAACATGTCGTTAGTCATAGGTAGACGGGACAAAGAAGATCGATGTTTGTTTGCCGATGATCTCGACTGTACACAACAGGGTTCGTTCACCCACTAGGCTCTTTTCCCGTCATTATATATAGACTCGATAAACTGATTTTGGCACAGTTGCTCGAATAATAATCAATTAACCAAGCACCGTGTATACCGGCATGCGGCTCGCTCCGATGCCGCTTTTTACTGCGCTAGATAAAATGTCGATCCATGGTGTGTTTGTTGCCATTTTAATTATATTTTCCACTACCTCGTGCATTTTCTGCGCTGTGCGGGAGCACTATGTAATTACTCACGCGAAAAATAAACCAAAACTTAATTACGAGTTTTAAGCGGAGGTCGTCGAATCTATATGAGTAGCAACGTATGAATATATTGAATTTTTTTTAAATAATTTTTTTACATTGAAATTTGACGCTCGAATGATCCTTTGAAACTTGATTTATTACTTTTTCCCTGCAATTAAATGTTAGTAATAAATTCAACCGTACATAAAATAATTTGTTCGTTCTTTTTTTTCGACTTTGGAAAAAATCATCCTCATCGCGGCTGCTTGTAGTTCCACCACATTCAACCCAGTCTTTTTTTCATCATTATTTTCAAAGCCAGCGGGAATAATTATAATGAGAGAAGTATAAATCCATGCCAGGTTGGTTTTTTATTCTAGTCTCTCATTTAGTCTTTCCTCGCTCTGCTTTTTTACAGGTACATTCTATCACTTTTTGCTTCCTCTGTAACTTTAAGCCTTTCACTGAGTCATGTGTAAATGCTGTTTTGATGGAACATGTAGGTGAGTTTTTTTCCAACGTATACATATCTCATACATTACACTTATTTTTAAAAATACGCAAATGTATGGACTTTTTTCAAATATTAAAACATTTTTATCTATTCCTGTACATTTTTTATGATTCGTCCTTATCAAAACTGGTGATGTGTAACAGATGATTGTAAATTTAAAAAAATAATGAAATAATTAAATTTTTAATGATGAAAGTAGTTTGTTTTCCTTAAAGATTTTTCGCACTTCAATAATATATTTGATTAATGAATTTTCAAATAAA